AGCAGGGAAGACCCCCTCAATTATAGACCTGTATCATTGACAAGTGTAATAGTGAAAGTATTGGAAAAGCTAATCAAAACTAAATGGGTAGAACACCTGGAGAGAAATGATATAATATATGACAGACAGTATGGTTTTCGATCTGGAAGATCCTGTGTATCGAATTTACTCAGTTTCTATGATCGAGCCACAGAGATATTACAGGAAAGAGATGGTTGGGTTGACTGCATCTATCTGGACCTAAAAAAGGCTTTCGACAGAGTTCCACATAAGAGGTTGTTCTGGAAACTGGAAAATATTGGAGGGGTGACAGGTAAGCTTCTATCATGGATGAAAAATTTTCTGACTGATAGAAAAATGAGGGCAGTAGTCAGAGGCAATGTATCGGAATGGAGAAATGTCACAAGTGGAGTACCACAGGATTCAGTTCTTGCACCAGTGATGTTTATTGTGTACATAAATGATCTACCAGTTGGTATACAGAATTATATGAACATGTTTGCTGATGATGCTAAGATAATAGGAAGGATAAGAAATTTAGATGATTGTCATACCCTTCAAGAAGACCTGGACAAAATAAGTATATGGAGCACCACTTGGCAAATGGAATTTAATGTTAATAAATGTCATGTTATGGAATGTGGAATAGGAGAACATAGACCCCACACAACCTATATATTATGTGAGAAATCTTTAAAGAATTCTGATAAAGAAAGAGATCTAGGAGTGGTTCTAGATAGAAAACTATCACCTGAGGACCACATAAAGAATATTGTGCAAGGAGCCTATGCAATGCTTTCTAACTTCAGAATTGCATTTAAATACATGGATGGCGATATACTAAAGAAATTGTTCATGACTTTTGTTAGGCCAAAGCTAGAATATGCAGCTGTTGTGTGGTGCCCATATCTTAAGAAGCACATCAACAAACTGGAAAAGGTGCAAAGACATGCTACTAAGTGGCTCCCAGAACTGAAGGGCAAGAGCTACGAGGAGAGGTTAGAAGCATTAAATATGCCAAAACTAGAAGACAGAAGAAAAAGAGGTGATATGATCACTACGTACAAAATAGTAACAGGAATTGATAAAATCGACAGGGAAGACTTCCTGAGACCTGGAACTTCAAGAACAAGAGGTCATAGATTTAAACTAGCTAAACACAGATGCCGAAGAAATATAAGAAAATTCACCTTCGCAAATAGAGTGGTAGACGGTTGGAACAAGTTAAGTGAGAAGGTGGTGGAGGCCAAGACCGTCAGTACTTTCAAAGCGTTATATGACAAAGAGTGCTGGGAAGACGGGACACCACGAGCGTAGCTCTCATCCTGTAACTACACTTAGGTAATTACACTTAGGTAATTACACACACACACACACACACACACACACACACACACACACACACACACACACACACACACACACACACACACACACACACACACACACACACACACACACACACATGTTAAGAGCTACGATCATTGTGTTTTATCTTCATTATAATCTTTGTGGTAAGAAGTTTTGAAGCTTTATCCTGTATTTCTGAAAAAAATGCTTAATTATCTGTATTTCTATGAGAATTCCCAATTCCCAGTGGTATACTGACTATATACAAGTATAGTCAGTATAGCATGAGTGCCTATACTTGTACCTACCTGGTGAAGAGTTCCCGTCCTGTGTTGCCTCTGGCCGGGTACATGTCTTCAGCTGACACCGTTCTCCCTGCTGACTACTCTTTCTGCCTACTGCTCACACCGTACTTCCGCAGTTACTGCACATGGACGGCTGCCTCTGGCGAAACATGAACACTGTCAGGACATCAAATTGCAATGTGTCCTCACATAAATATCAGCTTATCCCTGACGGAATTAAGCCTTCTTTCTGCTTGTACACGGTCCTATAGGTCTATTCCTACTAAATGTCTTTATATGTAAACTTGGGATTGATAATTGTATAATACAAACTTTTCTTAAATAATAATCTAAGCATCTTCAAGAATTTCATCAATATTTGACTTGTTTAATACTGTATAGCAAAACAGAAGATAAAACACCAAAAGAAGTAACCGTGCATAAAGTCATAGGCTCTAAATGTTTAACTGTAACTGGAAATGTTTTGGTGTAATACTGCGGTTCCCTTTAGGCAGTACTTTTCACTAAAGGTCATCCAGGTTCCCCCAAGAGTTCTTTACCCAACTTGTCCTCCTTACACAACGTCACATTTTGAAGTATACAAAACCTAAGGCCAAAAATTGCCTTATTAAAAAATAGTAGCGGTTCGCAAAATTCACATACTGTTCCGTTTTCTGTTTTGGGTCCTCTGGTAGGTTAGGATAAGGGCATTTTCAGTACGACAGTTTCTTGACGTTGGGAAATCTTAGGAGGACGGGGCGCTTTACCAGACATAATTAGTTCCCATAAGTGTTCTTCACCCCAGATACTCCAGGTTCCCACAGTGTTCTTCACCACAGATACTCCAGGTTCAGCTTTGCAAGAATATAAAAAAAACATCAATGTTATGTACTCTCATAAACCCAATGTACCTTCTTGTATATATAAATAAATAAGTCATTTATCCACTTTCTTGCGAAACTTGGTAAGATAGTTGTGTAGCAAGTATATTATGTCAGTAATATACTTGCTCCAAACTAATTAACTCCAAACTTGCCTAATTACAGTTAATACTTCTTCCCTACCTGCTAGAGGGAACCCTCTCTCAGCAGAGTTACAGCCCCGCTCCTGTGCCAGGTAAGTCCACTACGGGCTCACCATACCACGTGCTACTTGGAACTTTTTGTTCCCAGTAGCTGAATCTAAAACAACAACAACGAATAATCTTCAGTCTAATTTCAAGAGTGAAAGATACTTTCAGTTTAAGAGAAAGATATCGCATATCTTCAAGCTCACCAACAACAATGTAGCACTCAGCGTGTCCAGTTCCTACCGACTCCAAGAGACTTCAGCCTCGACACAGAGCAGACAGCCAGACTCTGGCCACATCGAGCTTCCACGCTCTCGTCCCACATCGAGCTCCTCAACTCCGCCCATATTCAAAGCGCCAAGCTCTACGACTCTCACCCCGCATCGCAGCTCTCTACCCTCGGCCTCACTCTGCTCTCTACTCTGCTTCAGGCTTCGTCTCAACTTCTACGACACTACACAACATTGTCAACAAACCGACTGCTGTAGCCAAGACTATACTAAAAAAATATAAAAAATACTAAACTCTGTATAAACAACTGGGCCTCTGTCCTTCAGACAGAACTATTTGCCTTGCTTCTTGCACTGAAATGTGTACAAGTCTCCAAACTTGATACATTAATTGTAAGTGACTCTTTATCATTCTTAATTGCTCTCAACTCTTTAAGACATAAATGTAACATGCTCGTGTCTGAAGCTAGACACAAATACAACAAAATTATTAATGATGGTAACAGAGTCCATTTCATGTGGACTCCATCTCATGTTGGCCTCCGAATGCATGATAAGAGCTGATGAGTTAGCCAAAGAATCTGCCTTTAAAGGAGAAATTGAGTATAACCTTGGATTGCCAATAAGCAGTCTGAGAGCAATAGTACACCAAGAACCTCAACAAAATCGTGTAGCTCTGAGGCAATGTGAAATCGACGCCAGTAATTCCACCTATCATCATACTATCATGCAAGAGGAGCCACACATCTATGGATCATCCAATAAAATCAGCAGACTTCTAGATGTTACTACTGCTCGGCTTAGGCTTGGTTACAGGTATCTCAGGGAATTATCATTATCTGCTGATGTAGACCTGACCAAATGTAAACTGTGTCAACAAAATTATTCGCACACCCTCCGTCACTATGTGATGGAGTGCGAAAAGATACGTGAATTTAGAGACAATTCTATAACAAATGTTCCAGAGATGTGTAAATACTTAATTAAAAATGATCTGCTACCAGAAATCTTAGCCAAATATCCCAAGTTTGCTAACTGTAGGTAGTAACTAAGTGACTGTTGGCATTCTTTCCAAGGTCAGATATTATGTACCTCGCCCTGCCCTGGTGACTTTATTATTCTCTCATCTATCCTTACCTCAATTATGGTGTTTGTGCTTGGGGTTCTACTACCCAAAATCATTTACGTCCTCTAATTACTCAACACAAAGCTGCTATTAGAGCAATATCTAACTCTGGCCCCAGACAGTACTCGGTACCCTTACCCAAATCTTTGAATATGTTAAATATTAAGTCACTGCACATCCTCTCATGTGTACTCTATATATTTAAAACTCCGAACTGCAATGTCAATCCTGACCTTAAAAGTTTCCTAGAAGGTTGTAACAGAACTCATGGGCACCACACCAGAAACAAATACCTATTTGATATTCCAAGAGTGTGACTTAATCAAACTAGAAATGCTCTACAACTCAAAGGACCCAGAATGTGGAATGACCTTCCCTAATCATGTCAAAGGCTGTAACTCTCTCAACCAGTTTAAGAGTAGAACTAAGCACTACCTAATTAACTCCATGTAACCTACCTTACCCCCTAAATGTCAACCCATGTCTTGCTATTCTAAACAATGCTGCTTGTTGACCAACTTGTACAATTGCTGATTTTGGCCATGTTTTTTTTATTCCATTTTTTCAATACAATTTATACTTTACTCCCAATTACTATTAAGTTTTAGTCTAAGTGTTTTTCCTCCACACCTTGCTCGAAACGCTATGCATATTAGTGGCTTTAGGTATTGTATGTACAAGCTCTATCTATAAATCCAACAGTATGTTTGTAACTCTGCATCTACGTATGTACTTTTCCTAAATAAAATGTTATTTTATTTGTCATTTGATTGTAGCCTATCCACCGCTGCCCACTGGATGGGGGGCGGTGTGCAGGACAAACACATCAATTGTGATATAAGTTCTCCATATACGTCAGTTGCTTTATTTAGAAACTGTACTTGTGGTCCATCTCGAACCCAATGATGATGTGACGACTTATACTGAATTTTGTAACTAGCTCATCAAGATTGTAACTTGCTTAGCTAAATGAATTGTGGGGTTCAGTCCCTGAGCCCATTATGTGCCTCTGTAACCCTTTCCACTACCGCCCACAAGATTGGTATGGGGTGCATAATAAATGAACTAAACTAAAAAAAAACTCTGTCTAATCAACCAAAATACGTACACGTAAATATACGTTACAGTTGCATTCGTGAGCCGCAAATGAGTACATATTCCGTGGCGTGACACTGGATAACATGGCGGGACCCTGGCATGCGTGCCGTGACTCTGGACAGTGACGTGACCCTTGACTGTAGCGTGACCCTGGATAACGTGGCGTGACCCTGACATGCGTGGCGTACCCTGGACAGCGTGGCGTGCTCCTGGACAGCGTGGCGTGCTCCTGGACAGCGAAGTGTGACCTTAGATACCCGAGAGTGACCCGGAAGAGCGTGGCACTGGAAGAAAGCAAGCTGGGCGCGTGACCGGCGGAGTAACACCACTGCCTCTCGCTATCTCTACCACTCTCCTATACATAAATCCTCTATCATAATACAAACTCAATCAATTACTGTAATTACCTGTAAGATTCGATGTAACAGTGTGTGTGATAACAAATATAACAGCTAGCGAGACTATGCAGTAGCAGTATATATATATGGAGGACCAGAGACACATTGCTTATTGCCGCGCTTCAATATTATATTAAATATTATTTGTTGATCACGTTTGAATTTTTTATATTATATAATATTTATTAGTGCTTCTATAATTAATACATTATTAGTTATATAATTATTTATTAAATAATTACTGATATATGCAAATAGTTAAATAAACTTCGAACGTTCTATGTATAAACATTAGATATGCTCAATATAAAACACTGCCAATAAAGATGTTGACTATAATACTGTATTAAATAAATATTTCTGAGTCTCTCTTTTAAACTGGTTGGGAGATGCAAAGTTTTTTATTACATTTGGGAGGTCATTCCACAATTTGGGACCCTTGATTTGCACAGCATTTCTGGTTTTGTTTGAATCTTACTCTGAGTTGGTATTTGATTTGGGAGAGAATGCCTACTGTTTTAGAAGCTTTTCAGTTATATTTACCTGAGGGCCACTAAGACTCCTGTAGCCTCGACGAGGACAGGAAGCCGGTGGTTTGTCAAAGGTCCTCCCCCCCCCCCCCCCCCATTTGCCCTTACGATTTTTTCCAGTTGGATTTTGACATTTAATAGAGTTTTGGCAGCTTTGGCTTCGGTGGATCCATAGGCGTATAACCATGTGGGTGAAAAAAAGCATCTCTTGTTCTCAGCCTTACATTGTGGCTTGTTGAGCATGGAACCGTTGCGCCTTGTTTGTGTTACATCTGACCTTTTACAGAAATTGTCCGGATGAACATCCACCAATTTGTTCAGTATTTTAGAAGTTTCAATGAGATCAGCCCTGTCATGCCTGGTTTTCAGTATTGTTAGCAGAGTTTACTTATCTCTGGAATGCTCTTTGTTGCCCGGTGTTGCACTTTCTCCACAGCAACTATGTCCATTTGAAGAAGAGATCTCCATGCTTGGATACAGTAAACCAAATGGCGGGGCACCAGAGATTTATAACAATGGAAATTCAGTTTGTCGTTTATGTGAATACCAAGGAACTTTCCATCTACTCTGCTCAGCTCATAATTTAGGTACTGTTATTGTTAATTTGATTGTTAAATTTGTTACCAAACATTATGTAAAACGTTTTTCCGATGTTAAAGGTAAGTTCGTGAGCAGTCACCACAAATGGACTTTATTTAGTTCAATGTTCACTGTATCCATATGCATACAGTCTTCACTGTATCGTATAGAATAAGTAAGTTTGCATGGGAGAAAATAAAGGTTGTATCATCAAACAGAAGTGGTTTCAAGTGTAAAGTGACATTTGGATGTATATGAGAAAGAGGAGTGGACCAAGTATACTAGCCTGCGGAACGCCAGTGTTAATTGGCAGAGTGGGAGAATTAGCATCGTTCACAGAAACATACTGCTGCCTGTCACTGAGGTAAGATAGCAACTACTGAAGGGAGTGACCTCTAACTCCATAGTGATGGAGTTCACAGCATTGGTATGGGGTCAGCCACAGTTCATAGTGCTTGGTACGGACTCTATCACAGCTCATACAACTGGTTCTCGTTCCATCACCGCCCAAAGCATGTTATGGGGTCCACTACTTCCCACAGCATTCGTACTCAGTCCACCACCGCTTAAAATATTAGTATAGGGTCTACCACTGCCTACAATATTGGCATGGAGTTCGCCACCACCCAGCTGTACAATGGGCATAGCATGGCTGGGATCAAAAGAAGTCTATAATATATTTATCTAACTGCTAAAAATATATAAATGGATCTACCCGCCGAAGCTCTAAATGCCAACACACTGCTGAATTTTAAAATCCAGCTTGAAAAAATCATCAGGGTAAATGGGGGAACCGTTGACAAGCCCCCGGCTTCCTGTCCTCGTCGAGGCCACAAGAGAAATGGAAATAATGGCTCCCAGGTAAATAACAAGCAACAGTTAAATAACAGGTAGAGGCAGTGTGAGTGTGGTGGAGGCAGTGCTTGTGAGAATTTACTTGATAGTGGCAGGGTGGGAATGCGGGCAGCGTTGCTAGGGTACTGCATGGGTGTTGGGGGGAGAATTGCTGGGGTATTATGTGGGTGTTGAAGGGCAGAATTATTGGTGTACTGCATGGGGGGTTGGGGGAGTGTTGCTGGGGTACTACATGGGTGTTGGGGGTATAGAATGTCTGGGATATTAAGTGGGTGTTGAGGGGTAGCGTTGCTGGGGTACTACATGGGTGTTGGGGGCAGCGTTGTTGGGTTACTGAATGGGTGTTAAGGGCAGCGTTGCTGGGGGTGTTGGGGGCAGCGTTGCTGGGAGTATAACGTTATTGTGAGTGTTGGGATTCACGTCGTTGCTAAAGATGTTAGGGATTGCGTTACTGGGATACTGAGTGTTGGAGTTGTGTGGCTATGGGGGTGTTGCGGGCTCTTGGGGTAGCGTTACTGGGGGATGGAGTTACTGAGGGTGGAGTTACTGGGGGTGGCGTTACTGGGTGTAGCGTTACTGGAGGTGACGTTACCGGGGATGACGTTACTGGGGGGGGTAACATTATTGGGGGTGGCGTTACTGGGTGTAGCGTTACCGGGAGTGGCGTTACTGGGGGTAACGTTACTGGGGGTAGCGTTACTGGGGGTAGCGTTACTGGGGGTGGAGTTACTGAGGGTAGCGTTACTGGGGGTAACGTTACTGGGGGTAACGTTACTGGGGGTAGCGTTACTGGGGGTAACGTTACTGGGGTGGAGTTACTGGGGGTAACGTTACCGGGAGTGGCGTTACTGGGGGTAGCGTAACTGCGGGTATTGGTTGGTGGAGGGTGGGGGCGTGGCTTGGGGAGGGTAGGCTGGAGAATGCGGGGAGAACCAGCAGCAGCAGTCGGGCAGGAGTTGGTAAGGAACATGGAAGGTGCGGTAGAGCAGAAGTCTTGTGTTGAAGGTGCCGGCCAGCACCCGGAGCAGCAGCAGCACCTCCAGGAGCAGCTCCAGCAGTGTATACTTGACCTCCACACCATCGGAGTGGTCAAGTTCGGCAGCTTCACCCTCAAGAGCGGCTTACAGTCCCCCGTGTACTTTGACCTTCGCATGATTGTCTCCTTCCCCAAGCTTATGGTCAGTGTCAGTAATATACTCAGCCTTCAGACATGATGCATCCCCCTCTGTTCAAGTCTCTAAATAATGTTTAATGTTTTTCTAGCCCGAAACGCTTTGCGTAATAGTGGCTTTAGGCATGTAGGCATTGTATGTACTAGCTCTATCTATAAATCTATCAATTTTTGTATAACCTCTTGTATGTATGTACTTTACCTGAATAAACATTTATTTATTTATTTATTTATAATATTCAAGACGTACACACACACCACTCATTTGTTGTGCTATTTTCACTTGCAAAGCCATATTTTGTACTGTACTTTTAATTAAAAGGGGCCATCAGTTAGTTTTTTAAACGTTGTTCAATGCCTACAAATCTTTTTGACTAGTTGTATATGAAAAGGGCTGCAATAAATAAAAAGGGATTTTTTTTTTCAATGACTTTTACACATTTTCAACCTCTATCTTCAACCACATGTTTCAAATGAAATAATTTGACACTTTTCTATCACGTTAACATATAATAAAGGACTTGATTCAGAGGATTTTCCAAAAATATGTGTAGTTTTACTAATAAAAATACAGTAGTCAAAGTTCCCCCCAAAATTATGCAAATATAGCATGTTAATTACTATTATAAAAGCAATAAATGAACTTAGGAAAAAAAGCTTGAGCCAGATTGTACAAATATAAACTCTACATATAAGATGTAAGTTTCAAGTAAATTTAATAAAACATGTAAGAGTTATAAGAACGTTTATGTTACTTGAAAATAAATAAGTAAAAAATAAATTAAGGTTCTGCCATCTGTGGCTGAGGTTGACATCAACCAATTTCCTCCAAAATTGGCACCCTTACAGATAGGCTTAACGTGCAGTCAGGTGTATGTTTCATGCAAATCGTCTGATAAACAAATAAGAAAAAAATGAAAAAAAAATCAATTTTTTTTAACTAAATTTTTTTTGGATAAAACTAATTATTAAATATTTTTATTATATGCTATTGTGATAGCTGAGAGTCATAGACATGATTTCAGTTGACACTTGACTGATAATGACTCATTTAAATTAATCACACTTGTTTGATGTTAATTTTTGGAAAATTTTTGACACATAATTCAATATTTTTTTCTCTCTTCCTATTTCTGCTACGATGCTGAGACTTGGACCAGATGAAACAATTTTCATATACAACTCTTCAAAAAAGTTTGATTGAAATCGAACTAGTTTTCATTTATTGTATATTTTGGGCATATTTGGAACTGATGTCCCCTTAATAACATCCCTGACTCGAAACTCAACTTAGATGAATAGGTATAACTCATGAATATTTTATTTGAATCTAATATCTTTGACATTCTCCGAGTTTGACCAAATCTATGCAGAGATGCCGTGTAAATAAAGCATAAAACACAGCACAGCTAAAATATTAATAAAATTTTAGCACAGCTAAAATATAAAACACAGCATAATGAATTCAAGTTTAGTTTAGTTCACTTATTGAATTAAAGAATTGCTCAACCTGAATTTTATTCAAATGCAAAGCAAAGAAGCAACAATATTCCTGTTTTAGAAGATAAATTTTGCCATGTGGGAGATAACTGCAATTAAGTAATTATAACTACTGTACTGTTACTTGGTACCTAATTACATCCTCATAGATTCCTGCTTTGTGCTTCAAACTTACACTGTATCTTGTGCTGCCCACTCACCCAATTTTAGCTTAAGTTTATCTTAAGTCATGTCTTAAGTACATGGCTTGAGTAAATGTCTTAGTCATGTCAGTATGTCTTAAATACTGTACCTAGTACAGTACTTAAAACATGCAAATCACCAGTATAATCAATGCTATCAATTTTTATTGTAGTTATCATGTTGAAATAAGATAAATGTTACAATGTACCTTTTAATTACTCTTAATTTTATCTGATAAGGATCTGCCCAAAATGCTATGCGTGTTAGTGGCTTTGCAAGAATGTAAGGACACCAATGTTACGTACTCTCACAACCGAATGTACCATCTTGTACAGTACAGTACTGTATATAAATAAATATAAAATTTTGTTAGTTTCTGATTTTCTGGAGTAGAACTTCATCCCTATCAAGTTGTCAAAAAATAATCGGGAGGTAATGTACAGTACAGTGCTTATACAGTATAGTACGTATATCAAATGTTGCATATAATGTGGACGAGACTCGTGAATGGCTTGATTTACAAATATTGTTGTTGTCCTCCACTGTGAGAGGGCTGCTAGTCTGCTCTTGCTGGAGACCTAGTCCATAAATAGAATATTGTAATTTTGTCATCAGGAAACAGTGGCCGACCTAATGTGGGCCAAACGACCTGGAGCTGACTATGAACTAATTTGTGGCGTTGCCTACACAGGCTTGCCCATCGCCACTGTTATCTCCATCAAGCAAGTAAGCACTGTGTAATTACTGTACCCTACTGTAATTTATTAATTTTTTCTGGTACAGTAGTTTGAAGTTGTGTTTTGTACGAAATTTTATGCTTAATGTAAATGCAATATACAGTATAGTTTTGGACCTACTATTCAAACTGCTAAAAATATATACTGTACAATATTTTTAACAGTTTGTATTGCTTGGTTGTGCTTTATTAGGGAGGCACTATAAAAATTGTTAAGGCTTCCACTATTTTAAGATTCTGATTGAGATCCCACTTATAATGAGGGCCAGATTTTTCAAGCCAACTGTATACAATAAATTTTGACTTCATATATTTAATAGAAGACCGATTACAAAGGAATTTTAATATTTTTAGTAAAAGACTGTGTTAATTGAATGATTATTAGGTTATTATTAACCTTCAGCCATGACTGTCTGTTTATATTATTTGGTAATTACTATACGTGTACTTGTAAATATTCACAGGATGTACCCATGCTGATTCGGCGTAAGGAGACAAAAGGTTATGGGACCAAGAAACTGGTGGAAGGGAACTACAATGAAGGCCAGAAGTGTCTAATGTTAGAGGATGTCATTGTTTCTGGTTCCTCGGTCTATGAGACTGTTGAGGTACTGTTGATATTGAATGTATCTGGATGAAATAAGATAAATGTTACAATGTACCTTTTAATTACTCTTAATTTTATCTGATAAGGATCTGCCCAAAATGCTCTCGAATGGATGATTACCTCAAGGTAATCATCCAAGTCTGTGAGGCTGTTGAGGTAAGATAATGAATGCATCATCCAGATCTATGAGCCTGTTGAACTCTGGTCCTATTTTTTTTTGGTCATTGTTTCTTTTGTTAAGCCTACATTGCAGAAACTTGACATCAGCCACTGGCATGTTTCTTACTCTCATTATTTTCACATAATTTATACTTGTGTGTCAACTTGCCTGTCAGTTTTGAGCATTATACAAGATTTTTGGATAGCTATTTCAATTGTTTACTGCAGTAGTAATAGTTGTCTTCAACATTACACGTAGTAGACTCTACTAACTCATAGATGTCTTCAGTATACATATTACTATTAGAGACAAGGTAACCCATAGTTGTAAAGTGTCCTTTGTACATAAAGGTGCATTGGGATTTGAAAATTATTATGATTTGTTTTGCCTTTTGATTGCTTCCTATCTGGCTGAATGCTTAGTGTATATTCATGTTTCTTTACCAGCTTTCCATGTTTTGTACAGTGCATATATTTACTTGGTCATTACCCTCACTCCAACCACCTTGTTAGTACAGTATTAAAAACATCTGAGCATTGGTATAATTGTCTAGTATGTTACTTGACAAGAATTGGAATATTGTATACCATAGGCTTAATTTAGTGTGCATTTAGGTATGGCTAAATTGTTTCATGTTCATTACATTGCTTAGAAGCAGAATCATTTTGCTAAGATAGCATTTGTTTTGTGTAATTCACATTCCATTAAGTACAATATTAATCAGAGCCATATATGGAAATCTTAAGACAAATATTTCAAGATTTATTATTCAAGGTCTTGTTCATGAAAGACTGTGGAGATTGCTGAATATTTGGTAAAACAGAAGATTGTAGAATGCACTTTTAAAAATAATATTCTATTGATGCATCTGCAATCCCTTTGGCTAGTTTTCTCATGCAGGAGGATGAAACTACTACTAATCATTTATGTGGGCAAGATGGCTGGTCATTGTTTTCGGTGGGCCGAGATAGCCCAAAAAAATCCTTTCTCATTCACTATGATTTAATTTGTGCCATGGACATAGGTTAACAGGAACTTAGGACTATACAGAAAGGGGTTATTTGATTGCATTCAATGTCCCATTTTTATTGTATTCATTTATATCCCTCCTCACCCCCGGCCCCAGCACATATCAAAGTTGTATCAAAAACTTTTTTGTCTTCAAAAACATCTGGTGAAACTTGTTCTAGCCAGTTTACAACAGGAAGTAAAGCTTTCAATGCAAATGGAATTCTAAAGAACATATTCTATTTGAATATGAATACACAATAGGTTATCGTAAGTGAAAAGCATTTATCTGATTTGTACATTAGTATGCTTCTAGTACAGCCCTTTCTTCCTTGGCTTTATGTATTTAGTGGAGATTTTTTTCACATTCTACAGTTGGGTTTAATATAGTAAAATAGGAATGGGCAGCTTTGTGGTGCCAGTACAATACTGCTAGCAAGTGATGGTAGTGACCTATGTACTAGATGGATCAGAAGTTAACTAAGCTGAAACTTTGTGAACTCTGTGATGCCAAATCGTGCTTGAAAAGTTTTTAGTTTGTGTAAATACCTTTTCTGACTTGATTCTGACTAGATTTAGGAGTCTGCAGTGTCTTTCTATGAACAAGACCCAACTGCGATGGTTTAAAATGTTCCCAGTCACAACAGCATGTAATGTTAACCCACCCTGCTTACTGCAAATCCTAACCAAATGCAGATAGAATCTTACCTAATGGAGCAACCAAGTGGACTGCTTAGAAAATTTTTAGTTACTTTTTTCAGACCCTTCGAGAATTAAAATTGGACGTAAAAGATGCTGTGGTGTTTTTGGACCGTGAGCAAGGTGGTGCTGCAAATCTCCAAGCCATGGGCATCAATGTTGTTCCATTAGTAACAATGAGTGAGGTAAGTCATAACTTTGAGATGTAGAACACTCAAAATGGACTACATCTTTGTCAGGTAATGAATACAGTTTCAATATGGTGTTTAGAAATACAATATTTTACTCAATTTTAGGTGTGTGTGTGTAATTACTGTACCTAAGTGTAATTTCATAAGTGTAGTTACAGGATGAGAGCTACACTCATGGTCTCCCATCTTCCTAATACTCTCTCATATGACACTTTGAAACTACTGATGGTTTTGAAAGTGTTGGTGCGTGATGTGGGTGGGTGGGTGAGTGACTGTGTGTATGGGGGTGAGGTGCATATGGATGTGGGAGTATGAATTTTTTCTTGCATCACAGCATAACATTATTGGATTTTAAATGAATGAACATATTACAGTGATTAATCAATGATTAATCAATCAGTTTGTCCAGGCCTAGTTTTACCTACATTAGGCAAAATATTTTTTTTAAATTGGGCATATTTAGTCCAATTTTAAAAAGTTTGTCAAGTTGCCAAGTTGTCTCAAATTGAAAAATTTAATTCCAGCTATATTAAAATTATCTAATATGTAAGATAAGTTTTTAAAATTTAATATATAAAAAAATTATGCATGCTAGTCATTTATAAATATTAGGCACTACACATGATGAATGCATGCAAATGGAATTGTCATTGTTGAGCAAGGAAATGCTTCTTTCTGAGGAAGACACTTAAATGCTCCAGTTCCCACCCTTGTTGTCCCATCTTTTCCTGGCATGGTTTGGACTTCAAGTAGGAGTTGGCAGCTATCCTGTCCCTGTTTTTGTGATGGTGGTGGCTGTGATGGGTATGGTGTAGCTATGCTTCACAAATAGTTTGCAGGAGGCATTAAAGAGTTGTGATTTGTTCCTCTGTATTGCTGTATAGCAAACTGGTTTTCTTATTGATGGCTTGAGTAAATGATCTTCTGTTTCTTTTCCCTAAATATATGACAAGACAATTTAGCAAAGATACCCTTCTCCTGTCATGAGAGCCTGGAAGGTGCTGAGTTATGAATTACCCCATAAAGTCTCGGGCTTTGGAAGCATCTGAGGGTCTGGCTCAGAAAGAAGCTTTTAACAATGCTCAAGACTAAATTTGTTTTCTTAAGACTGGTGTTTCTCCTCTGCATAAGTGAGAAATAGGAGTTAGTGATAATGTAGCATGTATACGTAATTGTTCAGCTACAGGCCACTAGTGAGTCTTAGCCATAAAGGTAGCATGATTCTATTGGAAGGCCAAGATGTAGTGATATTTTCTCAGTGTGAACTGAGCCTCTTTGCTCTCGTGTCCAGTTTCAAGCATACAGTGCTTCTTTGCCTAGAGGATATGAGATATTAACAGTAGAGATTCAATTGTCTTCAATCCTCAGATGATGTCAATTCTTCTGAAGCATGGTCGGATTGACAAAGCAACACGTGACTCTGTCTTGACTTTCATCTCTTCACATAATGACACATCGATTGTCACCAGAGAAAAGGTTTCTGGTAAAAATGGTAATTATTAGTTCTGATTTATATTTTACTTTTTTTTAGTTTATAATTTGCATAACTAGGTACTGCAACTAAAGTGAAGTTTTATGGGAAACCAGATCTGCTGAATATACACTTGTGATTTTGTGGCCATCTTGTAATAAGGAACAAATTCATAACAGATTGGTGTAACTAAGATCAGTGGTGATATAAAATATAATGCTGTCAACTGTATGTTTGAGAAAATAAAAATGTAAATTTTAAATATTTATATCTATACTGTACCTCCAAAATCCGGATCATATTGTTCTGGACCCAATCTGAATTTGTGAATATTCGTACTTTTTTTTGGGGGGGGGGCTAATTATCACCTATTTTTTCAGTTTTTAATTACAACTGATCATACGATACATATTTCTGTATATTTAGGGAAATATAATGCATGTACAATGATTGCTTGCAAATAAATTTTTATATACAGTACAGTATAAATATAAATACTACTAAAAGCAATACTTTGTAGCACAGACTAGTCTTCATTGCCCAGTGGAAGAAAATTAATTGTAGCACTGTGCAGTAAAAATGTATTTTCCCATACTGTAACTGCATATTTAAACATTATTATACTGTTTATTTGATATAGGTCCAGTAGTACTATAGTGTACAGGAATGCTTTCTGCTGTGCCACCAACAGTTAACCAATGTACAGTGTTCCATAAATGACTAGTAAACAGCATCATCTAACTTTTTATATTTTGATGGTCTCAAACGTATTTGTCAGAACTTGCCACCACTACTCTCTCTTTTTTCTTATAAGCTCTGTGATTTGTTTTTTAGTTTTATTAGTACCAGTGTACAGTATATTCCTCTGCTTGATGTTTTCCTCCCCAGCCATGGTAAGTTTCTCTAATAACTCGGGAGTCTTACACAATGAAACCGTTTATCTTTTCTTTCCCTGATGTACTCTTGCTACTAATGCTAGATGACTTGGTTTTAAATTATGTATAATTATACAGTACATTAAAAAAAAGTTGTCAAAAATCCTCGAGTAATGATAGGTCAAATAGTGCTTACATGCAAGAAAAACACACATTGGGTATTATGTGCACTTTACAATCAATCAGTGAATGCCAGAAGATGTCATGTAGAATTTCAAGCAGTTACCCCTCAAATGGTGTGATTAAGATCTACCCAATACAGCAAAACAAACTGAAAACTTACTTGGTGTGGGACTCTTTTTTAAGTTAACCAGGCCTGACATGAGAGTATTGTCCAGGGCTGGTCCTGGCTATTGGAGCAACTGATGGCCCACTCAGAAAGGGGTGTTTCAATACCCTCAATGCTATATTTTCAGGGCTACAAGTGATGGAGCGGAAAAATAGTTCCTTTGAGTCTCGTAGCACTACCACAAATCACCCAGTGACTCGTAGGCTATTTGAGATAATGTCCAAAAAGAAGACAAATTTGTGTGTGGCTGCAGATGTTAACACAACAGAGGAATTAATTTCCTTGGCAGCTAAGGTACAGTTATAAGTTTAGTATACTTAAATTAGAATATTAAAATACCCTGTATTAAGTGAGATTAGAGTTCCCATTTCTGATACACAAGTTGCAGGATGACTTTCTTGGTACAGTACCTTATCAACTATGTATACACAATATCTCATAATTTTTTAAAGTACAACGGTTCACAATACAGTATACAGTACAATAATTGAAAAGTGGAACACACATTTTGATAGCATGAATGATGCTGGGAGGAAAGGGAAAGGGAAGTATCAGGTGAAAGCGCCAAGCCATTACGACTATATAGCCCTTGGAAGGAGGGAAAATAAGGATTAGGGATGGGACGGGGGAGGGGAATGGAACCCAACCACTTGGACGGTCAGGGATTGAACACCGACCTGCAGGAAGCGATCAACAAAATACAATACAGTATAACGTTTTTGTAGAATAGGGTTCAAAGAAGACAAAATTTAAATTTGTAATGAAAACAGCAAGACAAAACAAAGAGAATGCAGATGCTGTAAAATTAATGAGAAATATGAAAACTGAGGAGGATTGCAGTGCTTGCAGTACAGAATTACAGAACTTGGAAAGAGAAGTCTTGGCAGGAGATATATATTTTATTTCTAACACTAATACCAGAGACTTACTTAAAGCAGGATAACATCAGCATATGGGGGAAGCTAAAAAATATGAACAGCATTTAAAAATCTAAACATAGACCACTACCAAGGCCACCTAGACCAGTATTAGAACAAGCAGCAGTTGCATGGAATCCACAGCTTGAGATGCACAAAATAAAACTGGGAAAGTATATAAATTTGCAGTAGAACCAGCACCTGAATTAAGAGGAGACTATGAGGGCAGGTTAAGGAATACCAGTTTTGCAAGACTAGACGAGAAGAGGAGCAGGTAGAATGTACTGTAACTGTGTACAAAATTCGGAAGGAAATTGACAAGATGGACAAGGACAGCCTCTTTAAATTGGGAGAAAATACAACTAGAGGATATTAGTGGAAGCAGGAAATGTTAAAAGTGTCACACATTTACAAAAATACTTGTATCCTGTATGGGTTGTCAACAAATTGAATGTATTAAAAGTTGTTGCAGCAACCTTCATGCGCAACTCTAAAGAGCAGACACGTGTAAAGAAAATTAAAAAAAACAGACCAGATACAAGCCAGATACAAGCAGGTACCTTGCTGTTACCGGCAGCACTCCCTGCTGCCACTAGTTAGCAAGTGCTGGTTGATAAGTAACACCATCTTCACCTTCCTCTACAGTGGCATCCACCATCTTCACCTTACTCTACAGTGGCATCCACCATCTTCACCTTACTCTACAGTGGCATCCACCATCTTCACCTTACTCTACAGTGGCATCCACCATCTTCACCTTACTCTACAGTGGCATCCACCATCTTCACCTTACTCTACAATCACATCCGCCACCTTCACCTTCCTCTACAATTTAGTTATAGAAATGTTAATATAATTTTGCATTATGACAAGCACACTGCATTCAGTTATTCTCTTACAAAGAAATACAGCACCATTCCCTTGTACAGATCATCCAAGCTTGCATATGATACTATCTCTCTCTTAAGTATTTGAAAATGCTTAATTTATTTTCTTTCGCCATTTCTTACATATCGACGGATATTTTTTCTACTTCGGTACAGTATTTCAATTGTTTGTTAAAAAAATTTGTGATTAATTTTTTTAAGTTAAAGGTGTTATTTCTTCAGGTTGGGCCACATATATGCCTTTTGAAGACTCATATAAATATCTTGACGGACTTCAGCCAAGACACCATTGACAAATTGAGGAACCTTGCTGCTAAGCATAACTTTTTACTCTTTGAGGACAGGTGTGTAATTGATAAGTAAAAATATTTTTCATAAAAAAGAATGTATAGTCCTTGTTTCCCCTCCCCACTGTGGTTGTCATGTGGAAGGTTGGTTACCATTTACACCGGGATATTTCCATACTTTCAACAGATCTACTTTTGGCATTTCAGAGGATATTCGTACCTTTATTAGGCATTGTGGTAATCTTTAAGGGCTCCCAAGGAGAGCTGGTAGAAGATTTACAGATATCCTTCAACGGATAATAGTGTTTCAGTATTGTACTGTACTAGACCCATGTATGACCCTTTGGGGACATTTTAAAAATACCATGGTGCCAGCACTGCCAGTTATACCCAACATGATTTGCTTCCCATAGATACTGGCATTTTAGCTTACTTGTAAACAAAATGGTGCAGTGAATTATTTTATTACAGGTTTTGGTGATTAATTAGTGCAATTTTGCAAAGCCATACAAGAGGCATAGAATTTTAGACATATCTTACAGCTTGCAAAGAAGTTGAAGTTTACTTTGGGAATTTGCCGTGATTTCTAAGTTACAGGGTGAACAGTTAATCTTCAAGAAATATAACTATATAGCCATTATGTATAACATAGTACTGTACTAGGAGAAGGTGGTGATAGTGATTATTGTGTTATAACATGGTACTAGGGGGAAGATGGTGATAATGAGAAATGGTGTTAATGAGAGTTATATACAGTATTTAGATAATACAGTACTGGGGGAGTACAAGGTGGGGGTACTATGGTGAGGAATTGAGTATTTCTTTGTTTTATTTTTGGATAAAGTATAGGCCAAACTTTTTTTATATAAGAGTTCTTTGTGATCTTTTATTCGTGTGGCATGTTTGAATATATTTACCTGGACTCTGGTGATGTTAGAGATAATTATTTTTGACAATTATGAATTATATTACATAAAACTAGGAAGAATGGCAAAAGAATATCAAAGTCAATTTGCTCAGAAAGGCAATTTTTATCGAACATCGGTAAATTTTTGTCAAATTACTAATTGCATCAGCTAATAGGTTAATACTTATTGTTTACAATGTAACCTAATAATTTGGTAATGCAGTATGGAAAATACTGTAGATGTGTTGACCTTTCAGGAAATTCATGATTTTGTATACAGTAATATGAATATCCAGTGCATAGAACTGCAGCAGAGGCATTTGTATCCAGTAGACACACTAGTGATCTGCTCTTCATCTTCAGGTGTGTCCCATGGAAGGGAGACTGAAAAAAAAGTAATTCTTGCAGTATAAGAGTACAATATGCCACTCTTGGTGAACTCGGAGACTAAAGTCAGAGTTATTTGCTGGGCTTGTATATGCAGTTGAGAATACAGTTGATTGGTAGATTTTGGGTAGTCTTAAACTTTATTTTTTATTGACAATTTTTGATACTTGTGTTGTAGATATTTTGTCATTATAGTACTGTTATAAAGATATTTAAAGCTTTAATGCATCTTTATTTTAACTGTTAATAAGTAAATTCAAGGTACTCATTTACTAACTCGTACTGTGTTCATTATTTGGTAATACTGTACATTCAAATCTTGCAGTAAATTTGGAGACGTTGGCAGTACAGTAGCCAAGCAGTATGGTGGTGGCCTTTACAAGATTGTAGACTGGGCAGATCTGGTGACAGCCCATGGCATTCCGGGTGATGGAGTTGTTAAAGGTAATTTATTAAACAGTAAAAACTATTTTGAAAGAAGTCATACATATTTTAGAGCAATGACATTGGGTTGCTTCCGAATGTAACCATCTGCTGTCTCATAAGACAAGGATCATATACAGTCAAGACAATATTCTGGCACCAGATCCATATGAAACTTTTCAGATGTCTCTTGAGAGTTATTTAAGTTACTGGGGCACTTGCAAAACATTCAACCCAGCCCAGAATGACTGACGGAAGGTGCATTCATGAGCATTCAAAGTCCTTCTGAACTCTCTCTTGGCACCACAATGACTGCCAGACAAGTGCTGCTCATGTCTGTGTTGACCTATTTATTCCTCCTTTCTCACATCTTAATTTAGTCTTCAGATTTCCACCTTTCAATGCTTCATTAGAGCCTGCCAGGTTTCTAGCAATTGTTATCCTTTCTCTTTGATGCTGTGTGCAGGTTGATTTAGGTAGGTTAAGTTTGTCCCATTCATGTCCTGGAGCCATGTGCTTTGTGACTAGTTCCACTCCATGGTAGGGGTTTCTGGCATAATACAGTATCTGCATATTTATGGTTCATGCCTTGTTTAAGTCTCTACCTGCTTTAATGGAATGTGGTGACTGGTGACTAACATAATTCTTACTAAATGGGGGTTAGCAGTACAGTACTGGTACCTTCCTCTACTGGGTGAGGATATCTCTACATCGCAAGCGAGTCCTCCATCTCTATTTTCTAGTTTGTGTTTGTCGACTAAAAATCCACAGAGAAATCACATTATCGTCATATATCAATGAGAAAATCAACAGGAGCCGTGATGAGGATTCGAAAGTATGAGCTGGGTATTTCCACACATGCTCCAGATGACTATGCCACAACATGAAATTATTTTAACTATTGTAATCGTCTAAATCATGTGTCTGGAAATACCCAATGGATAGGTTCAAATCCTTATCATGGCTCCTGTGGATTTTCTTGGCTAAAAATGTTTGCAAACAAATTAAATTGCTGAAAGATATGGCTTTTAATGATTATGAAAAGCGTCTCAAAGCAGAATCATCGGTTGCTTCCGGTCCTTCATGTCATCCGTTGTTTTGTTTTTCTGCAGACACTGTTTGCACCAGGAACTATGAAGGATGGTCTGGCTCTGGAAACCCTGGGTTTTTACAATAGTACTATTGTACTATTTTATGTTTTATTTTATTTATATAAAAAAGCTACATTGGGTTGTGAGAATACATAACATTGGTGTTTGAGTATTACAATCTTGCACAGCCACTAACATGCATAGTGTTTCAGGCAAGTCCTAAATCTAACTAATAAGTAAAAGTATTACTAGGTACAATATTCCAGAATTTGAGATAAACAAAATAACTACAATGTAATTTATACTGGTGAAGTTGTAAGTCTTATTTACCAAAATTGGGTTGAGTGGGTAGCACAAGATACAGTGAGAGTTTGGAGCACAAGGTAGGCAACTATGAGAGTGAAATTAAGTACTTTTTGGTTTTATTTTTGAATAAATACATGAATAAATGTATATTTGAATAAAAATACATTTGAATAAGTGGCAAAGATTCATAGTAGTGGGAAATGATAATGATATTGAAACCTTACAAAGAGATCTACATGAATCCACAAATGGTCAGAAGACTGGCAAATGCTTTTTAATATCAAGAAATGCAAGATAATGCACGTGGGGCATAACCCATGCCACAACTTCCATATTAATAGCATTTCATTATAGATTGATGAAGAAAAGGACCTTGGAGTCAAAATCCACCTCTTGCTAAAAGTTGCATTACAGGTGGGAGATGCAGTCAAAAAAGCTAAGCAAACCCTTGGAATAATCAAGTGTACTTTTAACTTTAATGAAAAGAAGGTAATAACTCGACTGTATAAATCTCTCGTGCACCCCCATTTGGATTACTGTACCCCAAGCCTAGAGACCTCATTTTCAGAAGGACATAGCTGCTCTGGAGAAGGTACAACACCAGGCAACAAAAGTCATTCCAGAGCCAAGGAACACTTGAAGGTTACAGGGCTAACAATACTGTAAATTGGGCATAACAGGGTGGATCTCATTGAAACTTTAATTACTGTATTGAACAAATTAGAGGATGTTGCTCTGGTCAATTTCTTCAAAGGGTCAGTTGTAACACAAACAAGGAGCAAGAGGTTCAAGCTTAAGCCACAATGTAGGACTGAGAACAGGAGATGCTTTTTTCACCCACAGGATTACAAAACCATGGAACTGCCTACCCGCCAAAGCCGATAATGCCAAAACTGTGTTAATTTTTATACTCTAACTGGAAAAGATCATAGGCAAATGGGGGGACCTTTGACAAGCTTCTGGCTTTCTGTCCTTGTCAAGGACAGGTCCTGTTCTTTACCTGAGGGCCACTAGGATTAGTGGCCCTCAGGTAAATCGGGTACGTATAAAGCAAAGGTTGGACAATTTTTTTAGTTCATTAGGGAGTGAGTTCCATAAACTGGGTCCTTTATTTGCATTGAGTGTTTGCACAGATTTAGTCTGACTCTGGGGATATCAAAGATATTTTTACTGATGTGGTGCTCATGGGTTCTATTACATCTGTCAAGGAAGAGTTTCAGATCAGGATTAGCATTTAGAACAAGGTTTTGTACATGTAAATAGCACAAGAGAATGTGTGCAGTGTATGTTTACCATGTATAGGGATTTAAAGAGAGGTTGTGTGTTGTCTGAAGACAGCTATAGTTTTGATAGCAGATTTTTGGTAGGTGATGATGGGCTTGATGTAATTTGTGGTGGTTAAATCCCATGCTCAGATACCGTATGTTAGATAGGGATAGATTAGCGAGTAGTATATGTGAAAAGAGAGCAGAGTGGAGAGCATAATATCTAATTTTTGAAAATATGAAGTTTTTAGATTTTTTTTTTTGGTTATGTGGACGCTAAGGTTTACCATTTCTTGTGATAGTCAATGGGGCTGGCAGGCAGGCAAATAAAAATAGTCCTCCTTTGGCTCTCATTTGTGATGTCAAGTGAAGGTTTGAAACGGTTGTGATTAATTACAGTATGCATGTACCTTGTCATTCTGGGCTGCCTTGACTATTTCTCTAATGCTGCCTTAGCACCTTTAATGACCCTGCAAGGACACTTTAAGGTTCCCTGTGGTGCTGGTACCAGAATGTTACCCTTCCTAGTTGTATATGAGCCTGGTTCTTTGGAATAGCAGATGCTTCCTTACTGAAACAAATTTAATGATTTTGCTCAGAAATGTACTTTTAATATTCAGTGTTATTTTTTATATATGTGGTGCTATGTAGTATTCCTGCTTATTGCCTTCTTTTGATAATTGCTTATTTTTGGTGTGTATGTGTAATTACTGTGTTTGACAATTGGCAGGACTCATGTCTGCTATTGACAGGCGCACCCGAGGCTGTGTCTTGGTCGCACAGATGAGTTCTTCAGGAGCCCTCAACTCTGAAGACAATGTTAAAAGTGAGTCTTAAATTTCTATTATTTGTGTATATATATTCTTTATAAAATCAGGCAAGTATATTTTTCATTATTTTGACTAATGTTATACAACCTGTTGTTAATGATATCCATACATTCATCAAGCTTTCCAAACTAACATAAAGGAGAACCAGCAGGAATGGAGGGTTTTCTACTGATCCTTCAGGAAAATAATTGAGGGAATAGTGAACAAAATGATGGAATGTTTTGCCTTGAAATGTTCAAAAGCCATGGGAAAGTTCATCATACTAGACGAAAGTTATTAAAAACAAATTAACCAATGGTTGCTTTTATTTTATTTTTAGGTAGTATGTCATAAGCCAGAGCCTTATGAATATGCTTGATAGTTTTACCATAAAAATTAGTGATAGTTTTAATGTGTTTAATAAGAGCTGCTTGTATTTTTTAATAAATTTCACAGGGTTTGAATATATGTCCTCTTGTTCACGATGTTGTGAATTTTTGTTATTCTTCCTAAACAATTTGGTAGATTCTTGACACAATTTTGTATGTGATCATGTTCTCTTATATCTTCTAGTTTGGCATATTTAATACATTCAGCTGCTGCATAGTACTTACTTATTTGGTATGAGGTTACTTGTGAGTAGGGTTTACCAAGGACCTCAAGATATGATATGACTTCTGACTGGTTACTTCTTGCTCAAGACTACACATTACATTCAATAAATGTATGGTTTACATTTATTGTAAATGTAATTGAGGACTAATACTAATATCTGAGCATAGCTTACTTGGTTACTTAAGCAATATCCCATTTCCAAAGGAACATTGCAAACTATTTTCCTGCAACAGCACAGTTTTCTCAGGATGGTCCCAGCAGGCCATTACAGGATGAAGTGAAAGTGCAGCACTCAGTCCTGCCTTGACTCAAAAGTTAGTCCTCTACATTCAAAAACTATACTGCTGGCAGTAATGTAAATTCATATCAATGTTAGGAAGATGGTGGCGGTGTGAATGGGGCTCAGTTTGTCAATTGCTCTGTTGGTGCACAACCTTAGTGAGGTCAACTGGTTCTGGCATTTTTTCATCCATCAGAGGCATGGGTTTCTGATGGGAAACCCATGCCTCAGAACACACTCAAGGTATCCTACTCCAAGCCCAGCCTGGGACCAGGCTTGACTTGTAATAACTTGGATGAAGAGGCTGTTCCAAGCAACAGCCTGGTACTTCCTGCAGGAACTTGTCTACTTGTTTCTTGAACACGTCCTCTTATGTTGGGAGGATGTTGAATAGCCATAGAACGCTGATGTTCATAATGTTTTCAGATTGTGCCTACAACACCTCCACTTTTCACGAAGTTTACTTTACACTTTCCATATCGTTCACTCTAGTGTTTTGATGTGTAAATTTGGGACCTAGCCTTCCATGTATATTGTGATACCCTTTCATCTAAATACATGGAGGCTTCCAGTAAGTTAGGTGCTTTATCGTCACTGTGGCTCACTTATACCTAAGGTTTCCACGTACTCGGGAGCTTCGATTCTCAATCCTGGCCTACCATAACTGGTTAGTTTGTGATCCCAGCATTCAGTCTTGTCTAACACGAGCACATTGCCAAATCTTTGGCCAGCAGGCAAATTACCATTTATTTTGTTTTTCTTAGTACCTGCAAGTTCCTCATTTGGTTACTTCATAGGTTTGTAAATAATTGAGGCATGAGGGCCACTTTGCTGAAGAGCAATTTCTTCAACTGAAAGTAGTAACCAAGTACAAAAAGTATGAATACAGTACATAATATTTGGAAAGGGTTATGAGAACTGAAGGAAGGAACTGTACCCAAAGTGGCTGGTCTGGAAGATCCTGTCACAAGTAGTTCGATAGTGCCTGTACCATAACCAAATAACTTTGATTATGTACCAAGTAAACCATTTGTTACCTTTCTAGATTGCATTAAGATGGCAGAGAATCACACTTGCTTTGTTGTGGGGTTTGTGTCCCAGAGCAGTGTGAGTAATGACCCACGGTTCATCCTCTTTACACCAGGGGTACAGCTTGACAAAACTATGGATGGGCTTGGACAGCAGGTTAGTCTTTGTATGGTGGTGGAACAATCATTCCAGCTGAATGGAATATTTATGTAGTCTGTCGAATAACAAGCATGCCAATGACAGTTTTACAGATTTCTATAAATTGTTCAATAGGGATCTTTGTGAGATGCAACATGTTCACCATCAACCCACTAGTTATGAGCTCAATGTTGTATTCTCAGTACGTGACTCCAAGAGCAGCCATCCTAGACAGAGGTGCAGACATTGTCATTGTTGGCCGGGGTATCACACAAGCCACTGATCCAGTTGCAGCAGCCACCAGATATCAGGAGGAAGCATTCACAGCTTATCAAGAACGCATAATGACTTGAACAACTGTAGTAGTAAACGTTTATACTAATGGTAAAGTACAGTATATGGGTGTCAACCTTACCACTCATTACAATTCAAGCCACAGTATTGTGGGCAATTAATTTACTTGAAATCTTAAATTCAGTCTAACCTGAATATACAGTGTGCTTCAGGTTAGGTTTAAAATTTGTTAAGTTTGTCTCTCATGATCCAAGTAAAAAGTTGTGCAACAATCCTCATTATGGAAAGGTATCCACAATGTTAATGATTTTAATTGTTAAAGTTTATCAATTTCATTACCCTAAACAAAGCAGCTTTATAGTACAATAATTAAAGTTTGCAGCAAGAATGAGTTGTGTAAAAGGTTATTGCAGCCCATGTACAAAGCTTCAAGAAAATTTTTGCATGTAATGCTTATCCAGACATTTGACCTGCAAATCATGAGTTTGGGCCAAATGCTGCCAATCAGAAGCTACTCCACAGGGTAGATCTAAATTCACCTGGAATACTGTAACACTATGTAAAGAGCAGTTCATTCATTTTTGGGTGTGTTAACCCTTTACAGTAACACAAACCTGGATACAACACTAATGAAGACAAAGACAGTTATGAATTTGTTTATTATAGAAAACCACTTTAAAACTAACTTCCATCACATGCACCATACACTGTATATGGAATGCTTATCCAATGTTGACTGTGGAAGACATCCCATGACATTGAACTAATTATTTTAAACAAAAAATTGTAGGATTTCAAAGAGGCGGGATGCTTAGCAGGCTGCAATTCTAAGTCCGGGTGTACTTGCCCCAAATGTGGAGCATGAAGACTGTGGCAATAAACACCAGGGAACCAACCAGGACTGGCAGAGGACCACTGAAAACAATAAAAGCAAATTAGCAATTGTTAAAATATAATTGCCAACTCTTAATGTATGGTGTATAAACTATGCCATTCAATGTTAAAAATAGTAATTATCAAAAGGCACCAAGCCAGGGAGACTTAGCATATTCAAAGGTACATAATGTGTAAGGAAGTGGCAGGACAGTCAACATTTGGGCATGCATCCAATCTATTCCCAGATTGGATGCATCCATTCCATCTCACCCACAAAAAAAATATTAACTACTTCCATCTGTACTGCAGTAAACCTACCCCCTATTGAAGTTGTCTGTACAGTATGTTCTGCCCACACTACCAAACTAATTTATATACTGTAGAAATACACAGGTTTAATTTGACCAATCTATATCCAGTGTTATAAACTACCACATTTCACTAATTTCTAGTTCATGGCTCTTGTATTTAAACTTTGTCAAAGCAACCTCTATGCTTCATCTTTATTAAGAATTTCTTTATGGCATATTGATTACATAATGTCTCGTATTAACCATTAGCATTCTCTTGCTACAGCACTATTCTGTTATTTAACAAAAATGAAAATTGTGACTGATGTTGAAATTAGTGGTAGGCCAAGTAATTATCAAAAGAAGGCACCAAGCCAGGAAGGCTATGTAGCATCATCAAATGTGTAGAATAATCATAGTCACTAAACATCACTAAGGATGCCAATGAGAAAGCCATAATGTGAAAGATTTCAAACTTATCCGATTCACCAAAAACTCTTATCGAGGGACAGACAAAGCAAGACACGCTCGTCCTGGATGTCAGGACATTCAACAAGGATATGCACGACTAGGAGGGACAATGCAGTTTGGACAAGGAGTAGGGCAGCACCCCATTAAATGGACAAGAGTTAAGTGTGTGGGGCCAATACCCAACCTTGCCAGAGCCGTTTCCCATCACAGGTTACGGTGGTAGGAGGAAGGCCACAGGGACATGCCACTTTTCAAAGTACAGTTTGTTACTGATAAGACCAACAACCTCGCCAACAGACAAGGATGAAGGAATGAATAACTGGGTAAAAGTCAGAATAAGGAATAACTTTACGGGAGATGGGAAAAGTGTAGATAGCTTCCTCGGGGGCAGTGTCTGCACACTCGTTTAAAGACACTAATATGGCTGTGAACCCAGCACAACTACCGTCTTAAATCTTCTAGAGATAAACAGGCAAATGTTGAATCTACTACCACCGGATGGACTGGATTAAAGGACTCCAGAGCCAAGAGGGCACTGTGAGAGTCGACTACAACCATAAAGGAGGATTGACAACAGTAGACGAAGAGCATAGAGAATAGCATAAAGTTCTACCGTGAAGATGCTAGTCTCCGGAGGCAGGTGACACAGGTGTGGTCAGGAAAAACCAGTAGCCTATACCGTCTGCAGACTTAGACCCATCAGTGAAGATGAAAATGGAGCGGGAGTGTGAGGACAAGGCGTTTTAGAACTGTAGGAGGGGTAAAAGCTTTAGTGATGTGGGTCAGGGATTTAAAAAATTTAGGAAGGGGGACCCTCCACAGGGGCAAGGACGGAACATGGAGAAATATTGGCAATACTAACAATGTTGCAGGCAAGACAACATTACAGAGAGGGAGGTGGTGAAGGTGAATAGGAACTACAGGCGGGGCAAAAGTCAAAGCACGACAGTCAAGAGTGAGGGTGTTTTAAAGACCGCGCAAGGTAGCAAAGTCAGTAACGATCACAGTGGTCCTGGAGAGACAGGAAGCCAATGTCAATATACAAGCCGAGGGTAGGAGAGTCGAACAAAAGGCACCCGAGCCGAAACAACCCAGTATGGTGCAAAGCATCAAGATGGCGAAGAGTAGAAGCAGACGAGTAAGCACGGCAACAACCTGGTTTAGACAGTACGAGAAAGGAATGTAAAGAGGGTACGCCTATCTGCTCCAAGAAGTATGGAACAAAACCTTAAGTAGGTTAAGGACCTTAGAGCATTCCACTCAGGATGGTAGGCCAATTACAATATAGTATTCCTAACCAAGTAAAGCCAATTCAGAAGTGTCACAAAATGGGACTGTTCTCCAAGTCCATCATGTGTTTCCCTTATCCATACTTTAACCCAGATAAATGGAATACAAATTTTATTGAACTTTATTTGTACTCCAAGTAGCCGCCCCCCAGGCTGCAGGATCTGAGTAAGGTCAATAGAACTTCCGGTTGCAATTCTTTTACCATATCGTAGCTCAGTCGATTAAAGCAGCATCTGTGATCCTCTGACGTAAGTTCGAACCTTCGTCACAGCCCTTGTGGATTTGTTCATTTGATGCATCACACTATTGTGGTTTGTGTAATTACAGTACAGTACTGTATTCATCAAGAATACAATCTCAAATTTACTTTTGCGGTTTGTATAGCATCAATTGCACTGTATAAAAATGCCTTCACTGCCGAGTAATTTAAAATATGCACTTGTCAATGCTTACAAATAAAAATTATTATATGCTCATTACAATGTTTACACAAATACTACATTGGTACCTTTGTTTACAACTGCCCCAGATTACAATTTTTTTGGTATATAATATCAAATTCATCAAAATTTTAGTTGGTGCATGAAATTTGCCTTTGAATACTATTCGTCTGATAGCTTTATTCATTGAGCGAGCGCGTGGGTCTGCTGGGTGCGGCGTGCTCAGTGTTTACTAGTCTCCCGCTTAGCGTGACTACCACGCTTTAATTCTTTGTAAAGAATTTCATTGTTTTCTGAACATAAATTATACATCATGCTATGGGTCCCAAGAAAATCAGTGGCGAGGTTCAACCTAAGAAAATTGTTGCGAGGATGACGACAGAGGATAAGAGGTAATGCCACTACAGAGAAGTGTCAAGACGTAGGGAAAAAACCTAGCGTCTATAGACAGGTTCTTATCGAACCAAGCAGCGAGCCACAACCAGGTCCTAGCGGTATGCCTGCAAAAAGAAAAAACCCAGAAATGGCACTAGTGCCTGAAGTTATAATGGAAGGGGGACTTCCCTTCCAAACACTAATACCTCTGTCTTCTATACACCAAGTCTCTAAGGTAAAGAGTACCTAATTATCTTCATAGTTTCCTACCTTGTTGCTTTAAAATTGCACTGTATCTAGTGCTACTCAATCTCCCAATCTTTATGTACCTAGTCCAAACAACTTTACCATTGTGATCATTGCCGTCTTATGTGCGCTTATCAATTTGCTGTATGGTGTTTATTAATCTGTTTAAATTACCAATCAAGCTATCAATGCAATCAGAGCTACCAATGTGTTAATTTACCTACTAATCTCATCTCTTTCTTGCAATGTATTTTATTAATTCTGCTAAAATTTACCTACTTAAAATTATGTTAGATTAAGGACCTGCCCAAAACACTGCACATACTAGTGGCTTTACAAGACTGTAAATGCCATGCTATGTATCCTCAAACCCAACGTACCTTTTTGTATATAAGGTAAGGTACCTGTACAGTATATATAAAAAAAAAAAAAAATATGAGTAGTATTCTGTATAAAATGTATTTGTTAATATTTGAGGGGTGTTAAACGGATTAATTTACATTTATGGGAAAAGTCCTTTTGGTTTAAGATATTTTAGTGTATGACCCATCTTGGAAAGGTTTAAAATCGTAAACGAAGGTACCACCATATCAAAGCAGCATTTTGGCCCATTCGTATGCCTAATTTGTCACAAGCAGTACAGGATCGAGCCCTTACACTTTAATGCCTGGAGAGTCATCCGTGTAGAAACGCCACATGCCTCCAGTTGATGCTGTGCTGCGACCCGAGGTAGTAGTTGTAGTTTTACGCTGCCTAACTGTTGATCCCCCAGATCCTCCTCCACTGCGAGGAGATACTGTGCGTGAAGGAGAGCGAGCAACTGCTCCTACATTGGTTGAGCTTGGTGAAGCTGGCTGCAAAGTTAAATTTAAAATTATTAAAAAAGGCAAATACCATTTCCTGTACACAAGAATATTGTTCGATTTGTGTTTACACACACCTAGTTAATTACAGTACAGTACTGAGCTAAAAAACAAATTACTGAAAAATGGTACTGTAAGTAATTACAATCTGATGGAATGCATTTTTACCGATAGTAAGCGAGTGGTACTTTTTCAGACCACTTAAAATGTCAAGCTTGAACAGTTACTGAAGGTACAGTATTATGAATATTCCAAACTTCAAAGCTAACTATGCATGTAAAGTATATACTGTATAAAGCTTTATTCAAATTAGCAGGGAGACCAATCAACACTTTTTTTTATCAACTTTTTTCACCACAGCATGAAGTATCAGTGCCATTAGTACACTTTGCTTCTGCCATGGCACTTTATATACTGTATTTGAACAGTTATAAATGTGTTCATGTTTCCTGGCTGAAACCGAAGAAAGCAAACCTGGTCCAATGTAACATGGTAGAAATAATGAGCTCTGCTATTATGTGGATCAACTGCCAAATTGTATATCTTTATATAACCTGCAGCAACTACATTAGAAAAACATGTAAGTTACTTAAAGGTTCCAAGAACTCCACATACTACAAATGACAAGCAGTTTCCCCATCAAGCAATTAATTAAGGCGCCTTGCTGTAAACTGGGCCATGTGGACACCATCTGGGTAGTCTCAACACAACAGCAGCAACAAACCTCTTGCCAGCTTTGGTCGTACCAGCCATGGCCAGTCTCTGCCGTTATCAGCCACTTATGGCTTGCCTTGTCAACAATTATCAATGCTGTAACCATTTACATCAAATATACATCTAGTTACTGTATCATGGTACTTATTCCTCCTATTTCTGAATACTTGGCACATTTGAAAAATTAAATTATGCCAAAACGTTAGAGATTCCAAGTACAGATATGCCATGAGGTCCAACTTTTGGGGGAATTTAAGAGATTATAGCCAAATGTTCCCCAGCAGAAATGCTCAACTTTTACGCTTCCATCTTCCAGGTGCTGGAGTTCACGACATTACAAATTATAATTAAATACCGTGCCCGAGGTGCACAAAAGTGCAACACATTCATATCAAGCTAAGTAAAGAATGAGGTTTGAGGAATTTGAGAAGTTCTGACCTACTTTACATCTGAAAGCTAAATCCAAATTTCAGTTTTAAAGTTTTTCAGTTGTATGACACTGGGCAGTTCCTGGATTATACCTGGATGGGGTTCTGAGAGTTCTACTCCATGCTTGGCCCAGGCTCAAAACTTAAAATTGGTTTGTAAAAAGGAGTATATTATCTTTAAAATAACTGGGACCACTTCTATAACCAATACAACAAAAATTGGCTCCATTATAGAGTTAGGGCAGCTCATTTCAGCGGGCTCTTTAGAGAATAAGCGCAGTAGCATCTATGCTCACCTTGCGAGCTGTGAAACTGGCACTGGTTTTCTGTAGCAAGTACCATACACAGATTCTCAAGTTCCTATAAAAGTTTATGTATGAAGCACAAAATACTTTGGCCTAGAGGCTCCAGGTTTGTGAAACCATGGATATTACTATAGAGCAGAGAAACCCGGCTACATATAGAAAAATAATGAAAGCCTTGTATGCAATCACAGGTTACATTATATTAGTGAAAGCTTACCGTCATTGTATTAAGTCATCTGGAACCTGTGATAAGATTTCCAACATTACAAATATTGACGGTATACAAATTAAGCTAAAACAAAGTACAGTAATCCAAGGCATCCCTTACTAGGGAGAGGAACCACCATGGTCCATGTTATTTATATACAAGAAGGTACAGTACATTGGGTTCATGAGAGTAGAGAGAATTGAGGTTTACATTCTTGTAAAGCCACTAGCACGCATAGTTTCGGGCATAAACGTATTTAAGGACCATCTTAGCACTGTAAGGACAATATCCCAACATCTTGACATGCTAATATACACGACTGTGAATGGACTTAACATATCTCAAAGTTAAAACATTCGGAAACAAAATATTAAAAGACCAGCTGTAAATGCCACTTGTCAAACACACAACCAGGGTGCAGGCTTCAACCTTACACCTGGGTCACATAGCCTAGCATGGACAGACACACGTCTCAGTACACATAACCCAACACCAAGAAATTATAAAGCGGCTCACCATGGCTGTGTGAGAGGGAACGAGTAAGTGAAGTATAACCTCTCCCGTCGGCAGCCACGACACGTCTGCTGACACAGCTGACGTTGTGACGTCACCACCAGGTGGAGGCCAACGCGATGGTTCTCTTCCTCATAGCTCAATACAATATTATAATTAAACATATGAACCGTACTTTCCATATTTAAATTATTTTATAATGGACTCTGTTCAAATTTTCGAGAGATTAGAGTCAAATAAATTAGCATTATTATTTATATATTTATTTCATTAGTACCTATTATATTAAGTAATAATCTTCTATTTATAAGATATACAAAGTGGTTACTTTTTAGTAGGTACAGTATTAGTATGGGTTATCAGAATAGGGTAACAGCACATTGCTGTGTATATCTAAGTTTATTAAAAAATAAGACATTTGAGTTTTTTTTATTTGCAAGCTTAGGTATACACAGCAATGTGCTGCTACCATAGAGGAATCTTATAGAAACTGGTAAAAAATAATTATGATATAATATTTCCATGATTACGTTGCTGTGTATACCTAAGCCTGTTAAATAATAAAAAACTTATATCAAAATAATGAATGAATTTAAAATTTATCGGAGTAGTTAATATTGTATGAGAAATAAGCAAATCATATACAGTTTTTATAGTGGTACTTAATGGCGAAAGGCATAGACAACTTTATTTTTGATTCTGTGCAGTATTGTTATCGTGTATAACGAGACATAACTGTAGTAGAATTAGAGGCAGCTACAGCACAGGGTGGCGTGCGCCCCAGACATGGCTAAGGTCCCGATGAACCATCAGGAAACCCACCGGGCTCGGGCTCTACTGGTTACAGACCTCTATGAGTTGCCTGTACATGGCGAAACATGAGACGCAACACATCGTAAGTCCTCCGCTAACAACACATGTCCTCATGGAGGAGATAACTTGAAGGTAATCACTTCAAAAAACTACGTAATTAGATATATATTATTTGCTGACGATACTACCTTCATCTACTCAGACACCAACCCACATACACTAAATGATATTGTAAATAACGAATTAAAAAAAGTCCACTCATGAATGTCAACCAACAAACTCACACTAAACATAGAAAAGACTACATTTTATTTGGTAGCAAATCATCAAATGAAATTCAGCTTCAGATAGACAATGTTAACATCAGCAATAAAAATGCTGGAAAGTCCTTTGGCCTATACATAGACATGAGACTCACCTTCAGCACTCACACACAACACATAACCAAAAAAGTCTCAAAACCTGTTGGTATACTCACTAAAATCAGATAAAATGTTCCAAACTCTGTTGCTCTCCTCTCATTATACTACTCCCTAATCTATTCCTATCTTACATACAGTATCTATCTGTGCATGGGGTTCAACCACTACAAACTACCTCAAGCCCATCATCACCCAGCAAAAATCTGCTATCAGAACTATAACAAACTCTGTCTTCAGACAATACACAGCCCCCCTGTTTAAATCCCTACACATGCTAAACATACACTCGCTCCACCCATTCTCTTGTGCCATTTACATTTACAAAACCTTTGTTCCTAAATGCTAATCCTGATCTGAAACTCTTGCTTGATAGATGTAATAGAACCCATGACCACCACACCAGAAATAAATATATCTTTGATATCACCAGAGTTAAACTAAATCTGTGCAAACATTCTATGTAAATAAAGAAAATAAAGCCAAAAAGTACCTAATTTCATCTCCATAGTTTCCTACCTAATGCTTCAAACTCGCCCTGTATCTTGAGCTACCCACTCCCCAAATGTATGTGCCTAAGCCATACAACTTCACCATTGTAATCACTGCTTTTAACTTTTTTCAGGAGTTTCAGGAGAACAGGAGATACTTTTTCACCGCCAGGGTTATATACCCATGGAACCGCCCACCCGCCGAAGTCGTAATTGCCAAAACTGCTAAATTTCAAAATATACCTGGAAAAGATCATGGCAAATGGAGGGGGGGGGACCTTCGACAAGCCGCCGGCTTCCTTTCCTCGCCGAGGCCTCTAGGGTTAGTGGCCCTCAGGTAAATTAGGTAAAATCTTAATTTTTTTTTACTAAGAAATATGTCCTTTCTTATTCATTGTGTCATCTAATGCTTGAATTTAATAATAATTTCTTTGATAAAGTGTTTATTCATGTCCTTTAGGTTCCTTTTTATTTTTAAATGTTGGGCCCATTAAACTTAATTTATACTATATTACTCTACATTCTGACATGTTCCAGCGGCTTTTATAAATTACATCTAGGTATTTCCATTCTGTTATTAACGTAAATAAACTACTGTAAGGTTATTAGGCCTACTAACTCCATAATGTAATAGTCTATGTTTTTCATCATTATCACCCTTTGATTGTATTCATTGTATTCATGATTGGTGCAGACCGGGGACCGGTGGTGGTGGAGGGGGGGGGGGGCGGTGGGGGTTGGTGCAGGCCGGGGAGCGGTTGGTGGGGATGGTGCAGGCCGAGGAGCGGTTGTGGGGGGGGGGGGAGTGGGGCAGGCCGGGGAGCGGTGGTGGGGGCTGGTGCAGGCTGGGGAGCAGTTGTGGGGGGTGGGGCAGGCCGGGGAGCAGTTGTGGGGGGTGGGGCAGGCCGGGGAGCAGTTGTGGGGGGTGGGGCAGGCCGGGGAGCAGTTGTAGGGGTGGGGCAGGCCGGGGGAGCGGAGGTGGGGGGTTGAGCAGGCCGGGGAGCAGAGGTGGGGGGTGGTGCAGGCCGGGGAGAAGGGGTAGGGGGTGGTGCAGGCCGGGGAGCGGTGGTGGTGGGGGGGGTGGGGCAGGCCGGGGAGCAGGGGTAGGGGGTGGTGCAGGCCGGGGAGCAGGGGTAGGGGGTGGTGCAGGCCGGGGAGCGGTGGTGGTGGGGGGTGGGGCAGGCCGGGGAGCAGGGGTAGGGTGTGTGCAGGCCGGGGAGCGGTGGTGGTGGGGGGGTGGGGCAGGCCGGGGAGCAGGGGTAGGGGGTAGTGCAGGCCGGGGAGCGGTGGTGGTGGGGGGGTGGGGCAGGCCGGGGAGCAGGGGTAGGGGGTGGTGCAGGCCGGGGAGCGGTGGTGGTGGGGGGGGTGGGGCAGGCCGGGGAGCGGTGGTGGGGGCTGGTGCAGGCTGGGGAGCAGTTGTGGGGGGTGGGGCAGGCCGGGGAGCAGTTGTTGGGGGTGGGGCAGGCCGGGGAGCAGTTGTGGGGGGTGGGGCAGGCCGGGGAGCAGTTGTAGGGGTGGGGCAGGCCGGGGGAGCGGAGGTGGGGGGTTGAGCAGGCCGGGGAGCAGAGGTGGGGGGTGGTGCAGGCCGGGGAGCAGGGGTAGGGGGTGGTGCAGGCCGGGGACCGGTGGTGGTGGGGCTGGCCGGGGAGCAGGGGTAGGGGGTGGTGCAGGCCGGGGAGCAGGGGTGGCCGGCCAGCTTGCTGTGGTGGAGGACGCATGGCGGAGGTGCCGCAGCACGTGAGGAAGTTTGTGTTCGGGTCCTCCCTCTCCCCAGCAGCCTCAGAGTGCCTGGAGGTGCTTATCCCGGAGGTGAGCTCTCTATCCAGGCTACCTTGTCTCTCTCCTCCGTACACAGCCCCGGGGCACCCTACTAGGGCGGCACTGTAATAGCAACCCCGCTCTACCACCGTCGTTTAGTCAAACACCAGGGTGTGTGGTGGACGGGCAGGCGTTAGTCAAACACCAGGGTGTGTGGTGGACGGGCAGGCGTTAGTCAAACACCAGGGTGTGTGGTGGACGGGCAGGCGTTAGTCAAACACCAGGGTGTGTGGTGGACGGGCAGGCGTTAGTCAAACACCAGGGTGTGTGGTGGACGGGCAGGCGTTAGTCAAACACCAGGGTGTGTGGTGGACGGGCAGGTGTTAGTCAAACACCAGGGTGTGTGGTGGACGGGCAGGTGCTAGTCAAACACCAGGGTGTGTGGTGGACGGGCAGGTGCTAGTCACACACCAGGGTGTGTGGTGGACGGGCAGGTGATAGTTAAACACCAGGGTGTGTGGTGGACGGGCAGGCATTAAACACCAGGGTGTGTGGTGGACGGACAGGCATTAAACGTCAGGGTGTGTGGTGGACAGACAGGCATTAAACGTCAGGGTGTGTGGTGGACAGACAGGCATTAAACGTCAGGGTGTGTGGTGGACGGGCAGGCATTAAACGTCAGGGCGTGTGGTGGACGGGCAGGCATTAAACGTCAGGGCGTGTGGTGGACGGGCAGGCATTAAACGTCAGGGTGTGTGTTGGACGGGCAGGCATTAAACACCAGGGTGTGTGGTGGACGGACAGGCATTAAACGTCAGGGTGTGTGGTGGACAGACAGGCATTAAACGTCAGGGTGTGTGGTGGACGGGCAGGCATTAAACGTCAGGGCGTGTGGTGGACGGGCAGGCATTAAACGTCAGGGCGTGTGGTGGACGGGCAGGCATTAAACGTCAGGGTGTGTGGTGGACGGGCAGGCATTAAACGTTAGGGTGTGTGGTGGACGGGCAGGCATTAAACGTCAGGGTGTATGGAGGACGGGCAGGCATTAAACGTCAGGGTGTGTGGAGGACGGGCAGGTATTAAACGTCAGGGTGTGTGGTGGACGACCAGTAGCTAGTCAAACATCAGGGTGTGTGGTGGATGGGCAGGTGCTAGTCAAACACCAGGGTGTATGGTGGATGATTGAGCTCAGTATATTCGGGAACTTGTACACTACTAGTAGTTGATTGACAGTTGCAAGGTGGGATCAAAGAGCTGAATCAATCACAGCTAGGCGAGTACATACAGCATTCTGCAAGCAGTGGAGTCACTTCCTGTGTTCTAGCTTCATCTTTGTGATACTTTTTTTTTTATTAAATTTCTGAATTGCAACCAGTGGAAAAAGATTACTTTTTCTTTTTATCTATTCCAGTTAATATTGTTAGCCAATTAAGGGTAAAGAGCTTTGTGGAGATTGTATGATACCCCCTTGTTTTGGTCATTATCTTTAACTTGACCCCGTCTTATTTATCAGTGTACTGTACTAGTGTTCTGCTTAATCAAAGTTTGATATACGTACTGTATTTTATATTTTGCCTGCTATGCTGTTTCATTATATATATTGTACTGTATTTTGCTTTAATGTTTATTAAATTGTTCTTGTTTTTAAGTCATGGATTATCTTTAATTACTTTTTCTTTAATCAAATATTTATATAGTACAGTATTTAATATTTATGTATAAAGTTAAATGTGGGCAATATGTAGTGTAATGTACTTCTTATCACAATAGTTAAAATTGTCAGTGCAGTATGTGTAACTTGCTGGGTAATAAATTTTATCATTAAACATAAGAGCTTGCCATAGTGTGTGATGCAAGTACTTGTCCTCTTGCAGGTAGTAAGTCCCAGCTATGGCATGTACACATGGCCATGTGCTCCTGTGCTGGCACAATATGTCTGGCATCACCGTCATGGCTTTATCAACCGCACCGTTTTAGAAATTGGTGCAGGAACTGCACTTCCAGGCATTGTGGCTGCAAAGTGTGGTGCCCATGTGATTCTCTCAGATTCTGGCCAGTTACCCAAGTGCCTTCGCAATTGTCAGCTGTCATGCCAGGCTAATGGTGTTGCTAGTTCTGTTGCAGTTATTGGGCTGACTTGGGGACTCTTTACTCCTGAACTGTTGCACTTGGGACCTGTTGATATCATCTTGGGTTCAGACTGCTTTTATGATCCAGCTGTTTTTGAGGACATACTTGTAACAGTATCGTATTTACTGGAGCACAACCCGAGGGCCCAGTTTGTTTGCTCATACCAGGAAAGAGCGTCCGATTGGTCCTTGGAACACCTTCTACACAAATGGAATTTATCTTGCACACAGTTGCCATTGGCAGCTTTTGATGCTGATACAACAAATATAGCTGAATCCAATCTTCCTGGTTCTCACACAATTCATGTGTTTCAGATCACCAGAAGCACCAGCAGTTGAGACAAAAGTTAAAGCAGCGAGGCATCTTCTTGACGGCGTCATTCTTCCTGGAACTACTGTTAGGCTATTTCTGAAGAACAGCAGCTTGATAAATTCTTCAAGAGCTTGATGGCATCCCGTAATATTTACAGAGTGTTTGTAGGGAACCTGCCATGGACGGTAGGCCACCGAGAACTGCGCCATCATTTCTCACAGTTTGGTCATATATCTAATTCGAATGTGGTGTTTGACAGGTCTACAGGAATGAGCCGTGGCTTTGGATTTGTGCAGTTTGGCAACAGAAATGGTTTTGATGCTGCTATTAATAAATCCACACATTTCCTTGAAGGTAATAATTTAGATGTGCAACCAACAAGCAAATAGTAATTGATTTTTTTTTGTATTCTGTGAAATGTAATACTGAATTTGAAAGCAAGTTAGATCATAAAATACACTACTTGTGTTATGCATTCCAAGAATTATGGATGATCTAGAGGACAGTACCCTTGCAGTGGGAGAGTTAGAAGCAGTGTTCACTAAAGCTGCTGCTCACCTTCAAACTCTAGCAGCTAATCTTGGCCAAGACAAGCTTCTTTTCTTTTATGCTCGCTACAAACAGGCTAATGAAGGCTCCTGCAATACACCAAAGCCAGGTTTTTTTGACTTTAAAGGTAAACAAAAATGGGAGGCATGGAAAAGCCTAGGAAACATGCAAAAGGATGATGCCATGAGGGAATATGTGAGTGCCATTGCTGACGTTGATCCAGACTGGGAACTTAAAATTGATTTGGGGGGTGGTCCGAGGACCAGCTGGGCGAGAGTTAGCAGCCTTCAGCCTGAAAAAGATAACATCAAAGAAGAGGATAAAACTTCCTTTGATTGGGTAAAGGAAAATAATGTTCATAAAATTGAAAATTTGAGTCCTAAATCCATAGAAGACACAGATGAGAATGGGATGAGCCTCTTACACTGGGCAGCAGATAGAGGTCATACAGAAATTGTTAGATGTCTTTTAGAAAAAAAGATAAATGTCAATATGCAGGATGATGAAGGCCAGACTGCACTTCACTATGCAGCTTCCTGTGGTCACTTGGACATCATCAGGGTTCTCTTAGACCACGGGGCTGATCCCTCCATCCAGGATTCTGATGGACTACGACCTGAAGATTGTGTTGATGATGAAGCAGTTAAAGTTCTGTTTGAAGCATTGTAATAATTATCTTGTCTACATCTTGTAGTTACACATTTGTTTCTTACTGGATAAAACTTCATTATGTTTCAGTGTGTGAATTAAGAATCATTTTGTTATTAAGAGCTTTTTAAGTCGTTCACATTGTCTTGTATATTTATGTTAACAGATATTAATGATGTTTTGAGACAATATGCTTACCAGTGCTGTAATGTAAATACCAGATTGCTGATGACGAATACAGTATTCTAACGATATCTTTCTTTATTATTTACCTTAATATAAATTGTTTACAAAAGAATATTTTAGTAGTAGTGTCCTAAAGGTACAGTGGAGTCTCCCAGTTCAACAGAAACAAGTCAGCTACAAGTTTGGATGCAATGGAAGAATGCTGTTCAAACGATAAAATGGGTTGCTGCAAAAATGTCACTTAACCCTTTAACAGCGCTATACATGCATATACGATTTGACAAAATAATTTAACATAAGTTCTTAAAACTTGCACAGACACTTTCCTTTTGTTTTTTGCATAATCAACTAGGCAAATGCTCCAACTTTGTCTAAATGATCACAGCATAACTTGAAAAACAAAGATTCAAATTTAATTTTAAATTTGAATATTGAAAACCAGATTTTCAATTCAGAATATATAATATGAACTATCACCAATTGTTTATTTAATGTTATTATTCTCTCAGAATAGCATATGATCTTCATTTTCATCAAATGAGAATATAAGTTTTCAGTATAGTTTACTGTAAAAAAAAATCGTCAATAAGGCATTTGAAATATGGGGCAAATTTAGACAAAAAAAAAAAACTAACCCCAAATGTATAAAGTTTATGAAAAATCTATTCTGAAGGGATTGTAAAACAGACAGCTGAGCACACAATGTCAAAATACAGTAGTGAGAATCGGTCACAAGTTTTGCTAGTTGTGACTGACTTATTTGTTGACCAATTTCATTCAATCTTCACATAGGGGCATATATGCATTCTCTAGGGTGTAAAGGTTACAACAAAATCAAATAATAAACAAAGGAAAAAAAACAACTAAAATCTAAAAAAAAATCCCCCTGAAAAAAATATTTTTGGGACATCGATGAAAGTAATATATAATAACATTGGACAATGTATTTATATGATATACAGTGCTGCCTCGATTAATGAGTTTAATCTGTTCCGGCAACGAGCTCGTCATGTGGAAAACTTGTCTTGTGAAACAACAAAACTGTCGTTGGAGGTTTCCGAGAAACAGCGGAAACGCTCATTAATAGAGCGATAGCTCGTCAGTCAAGATGCATTTTCTGTGAGTGGCTTGCTCGTTACTCGAACTGCTCATAAATGGAGTCACTTGTCACTCGAGGTTCCACTGTATAACAAAATAGAGCATAATAACAGTTACTCATTATTATTTGTGTTATTATGTATTACTCAGCAATGATATAAAGGCACCAACTGCATATCCACTTTGTAGATACTTCTTACTACTACAGGTATTCTTCTTTGAATAGTGTCATGAAAGTTTCATGACACTGAAGTCAATAAGTTGGAGATTTGTTTAACATTTTTAAGTTAATTTTACATAATTCGAATATTTTTCGCTACCAGGCCCCCAATACGAGCGGTCTAAGGGTTAAGTAAAAGAGTCTTATAAAAACACATACACATAAACACATATAAAAGGGGAGAATTTTATCAATTTGCATTAATAAAAAAGTATTAAAAACAAGTACTCTTGTAACTAGTTCACTTGCAATGAAAGGGATTAAGAACATATATTTAAGATTTAAATTACGATGTATGGCAGTATAGGACCCTCTATGGGGGCAAAATCGGAACAACATGAGGGGAGATGTTGCAAGTAATTGCCTAAGTGTTACCCAAGTGTAGTTACAGGATGAGAGCTACACTCGTGGTGTCCCGTCTTCCCAGCACTCTTTGTTATATAACGCTTTGAAACTACTGACGGTCTTGGCCTCTACCACCTTTTCACCTAACTTGTTCCAATTGTCTACCACTCTGTTTGCGAAAGTGAATTTTCTTATATTTCTTCAGCATCTGTGTTTAGCTAGTTTAAATCTATGACCTCTTTCTTGTTCTTGGAGTTCCAGGTCTCAGGAAATCTTCCCTGTCGATTTTATTAATTCCTGTTACTATTTTGTACGTAGTGATCACCTCTTTTTCTTGTCTTCTAGTTTTGGCATATTCAATGCCTCTAACCTCTCCTCGTAGCTCTTGCCCTTAAGTTCTGGGAGCCACTTAGTAGCATGTCTGCACCTTTTCTAGTTTGTTGATGTGCTTCTTAAGATATGGGCACCACACAACCGCTGCATATTCTAGCTTTGGCCTAACAAAAGTCGTGAACAATTTCTTTAGTATATCGCCATCAATGTATTTAAAAGCAATTCTGAAGTTAGAAAGCGTGGCATAGGCTCCTCGCACAACGTTCTTTATGTGGTCCTCAGGAGATAGTTTTCTATCTAGAACCACCCCTAGATCTCTTTCTTTATCAGAATTCTTTACAGATTTCTCACATAATATATAGTGTGTGGGGTCTATGTTCTCCTGTTTCACATTCCATAACATGGCATTTATTCACATTAAATTCCATTTGCCAAGTGGTGTTCCATATACTTATTTTGTCCAGGTCATCTTGAAGGGCACAACAATCATCTAAGTTTCTTATCCTTCCTATTATCTTAGCATGATCAACAAACTGTTCATATAATTCTGTATACCAACTGGTAGATCATTTATGTAGACAATAAACATCACTGGTGCAAGAACTGAACCCTGTGGTACCCCACTTGTGACATTTCTCCAATCCAATACATTGCCTCTGATCACTGCCCTCATTTTTCTATCAGTCAGAAAATTTTTCATCCATGTTAGAAGCCTACCTGTCACCCCTCCAATATTTTCTGGTTTCCAGAACAACCTCTTATATGGAACTCTGTCGAAAGCCTTTTTTAGGTCCAGATAGATACAGTCAACCCAACCATCTCTTTGCTGTAAAATCTCTGTGGCTCAATCCTAGAAACTTAGTAAATTCGATACACAGGATCTTCCAGATCGAAAACCATACTGTGTCTGATATTATATCATTTCTCTCCAGGTGTTCTACCCATTTAGTTTTGATTAGTTTTTCTAATACTTTCACTATTACACTTGTCAATGATACAGGTCTATAATTGAGTTTTTTTTGCTGTGCTGCCACTTTTGTAGAGTGGCAGCAGTGAACCAAGAGATTCTTACAAGTGAATCATCCTTGCAGGAAAGGGAAGATAGAGGGAACAGTGCCGACTGAGGGGCCGTAGTCAAGGCATAGCTCAAGTGAGAGTGGGGATGTTACATGGACAGAGGTAGCAAAAGCAGTAACAATTATGACAAACTTACAGAAACAGGATGCTGGTCTCAAACAAGTGCTGGACAGAGGACAAACAAAGGGCATCAGAGGAGAGGCATAACCCAGCGTGATACATAACTATTACAATAAAGGGTTGAAGGAGAGTGAGGGGGACAAGTGGGGCAGCAACAATTATGTTTAGACAGCACAAGAAGCTCCTCAGGAAATAAGAGACAAGACAGAGCATTCAATTCAGAGGTCAGACACACGTGGTGACCAAGACAAATTGGTGTCAGTGATCAACCCAAAGAGTTTAATTAACATTATCTTTATACAGATGGGGATTTCCGTAGTGCAACAAGGGGACAATGAATGACCTGTCTCTGAGTAAGTTGTAAGAAGTCTTAGTTGTAGTGGGGACCTGACAGCTGAGTGGACAGCGCTTAAGCTTCGTAATCCTGAGGTTCCGGGTTCAATCCCCGGTGGAAGCGAAAACAAATGGGTAGAGTTTCTTCCATCCTGATCACCTAGCAGTAAATAGATACCTGGGAGTTAGACAGCTGTTATGGGTGGCTTCCTGGGGAAGGGGGGGGGGGGGAGTGTAACAAAAAGGAGGCCAGTTGAGGACCGGGCTGCGGGGACACTAAGCCCCGAAATCATTTCAAGATAAGAGAACCTGAAAACATGATTGGTGGCGCAGGACAAAATGTAATCGATCACAAGTTGGAGTTGGTGTTACATGAAAGCAGTCATCTCTGTGAGATCAAGAACATAAGAGCTGAGAAAATGCCAGGGAAAGGGAGGAAGGAAAGATCATTTAGGGAAACCTAGGGGAAAAAAAACGAACAAATAGTAGTGCTCATAAGACTACCCTGGGAACACCCTTATACAGTACAGTATATTGTTGAAAACGTAAAGAGAAAGCAGTACCAAGCCTCGTTGGAAGCACTAGGTAGTGGTGATAAAAATCCAACACTGGTTGTTCTTTAACAGATTCAGTACAAGTCAAATTTTGCTAGGTTTCCAGCCAAATTGGTGTCATCTCCAATGGTCTTGTGTACTCTTGTTAAGAAGCCATTTGTGTCAGTCACATCTTGTAGAAACTAATTTCTTACTCACATTTCTACAATCATTCATAACTATTTGCAACCACTGGAACGATAGTTCAATATTCTTAATAACAAACTGCATGCAATTAAATGTGACCTAAACATGTATACTTCAACCACTGTAACAGGAATTTGGAAATATCTCTGGCCATACACAAATAACTCGTGGGCATTTAATGAAACAGAATCCTGCACCTTGCTGTTGGAATGGAATTGTCTTGCTAATTAATGGTTGTGGACATCCTCATAAAATGTTCCAATTTTCAGATGATCTGAAATTGTTTTATGTTCCTTGCTGAAAGTTGTGGTAAATCCAGTAAGTACCTTTGACATCGCTCATCCATGTCCTTTTATTCTCGTATTGACACGCTGAATGATATCCAAAATTTTTTTATTGTGTCTGTGCTAATTTCAGGCTTGGCATTTCCTTTTAAAAAATGCTTATATACCATGTCATTCACAACCACTGGAAAGATTGGTAGTTAACTATTACGAATAAGTTTATGTACAATACTGTCAAATGTGACTTATCCTTGTAGCCTTCCTCCTGTCATTGAAACAGGAAGTGGAAAAGTCTCTGACAAAGTTATATATATTGGCCACACACAATTTAGATTCCGATGTATGGCAGTACAGTATAAGACCCTCTATGGCAGCAAGATCGGAACAACACAAGGGGAAGATATTGCAAGTGTGAACCAAGAGATTCTTACAAGTGAATCATCCTTGCAGGAAAAGGAAGGTAGAGGGAACAGTGCCTGACTGAGGGGGGGGCCACCATTTTACTGTACAGTATCAGTATTTAGCCACGGGTACTAAATAAAACAAAGCCCTGCATCGTACTAAAAGAATTGCATTGTCGAACTGTCGACAAAAGTCACACACCCCTTATAAAAATATTGATTTTTAGGATAAGAAGTTTTGCTTTACCACTGCCCTTACACCATGTCTCTCAATGCAATCCTTGGTGAATCAGATTCCTTTAACTTGCTTGTCTTATGCTTTTCTGCTCTCGTTTGGCACCTTGAATAATGTCTAAGCTTTTCAATATTGTGAGACAGTTGTGTATAGCCCTGGGGCACTCGGCTTACCATTATTCATTACTAATACTCCCTTGCATTATCATTCAATAACACAAGTCAACATGCAAACAATATTTCCTTTATAGCGTGCATAGTAAAGAAGGAAATTGAATTGAAATAGCAGGCTTTAAGTAAAACACAAATATTCATATGTTAACTTTGTGCATTCTGGTCATTATAACATGTTATTTTGTGTCAAAATATGGCAAGGCACCTATAAACTCTCTAGTTCTTCGAAAATAAGGTTCCTACCACTGAATGATCTCTTGTATGGAACTATTATGCTGTCTTTTTAGTTTTAGATTTACATTAACACACCTGAACCATTTAAAGCACAAAAACCAGTTATCAATAAGTTCAGGTACCACACTATTCACAAGGATTGTAGCTAGTTACATAAATATTGTGCATTATAACTGCACGCATCAGATTTATAAAAATGTAAAAAAGATATGAATATATACAAGAAATAAATAACTTGGTTCATATATACAATAATAAGAGGGAGAGGGAGAGAGAGAGAGAGAGAGAGATGATGATGATGATGCAGTCACATGACTAGGAAGACACTGAGAGAACTGCCTCTGACTTCAGTCCTTTGTCAAACTTCAGCCTTCACTTGAATAAAAGTACTTCAACATGTATCACAATATTAAAATTAGAAAACAATAGCCAAGCACTATGAACATGTACACAAGGCTTTTGCTTTTAAAGCTCTGAAAACTCATTACAAATACAGTGATGAGTCTTAAAAGACGGCTACATAAATATTTGAAGGTAAATGAAGCAGGTGTCAGGAGGCAGTAATGATGTGTGGGGTGGGACCCAAGACAGTTATTCTTTGATTTCCATTGTGAAGGAAAGAAAAAACATTGATAAATGAAGTAGGCCTGACATCCAAGTTGTATAAAGATTTTCAATAACAATTGTAGCATCACCTCATATTGAGCACAAATATTCTAACATACTGTACATTAAAACCTGAATCATTAGAAAAATAAGTGGTTTATGTTAAAATTGATACAGAACTTGAAACACAATAAGATACAATATGTGCAATGTATAAATCTATGACATAATGTACAATACCAAAGTTGGCATTCCAAAAATGAAAAGACCTTTTTAATTGCACTTGCAAAACCCTTAGTGGAATGTAATATTAGCGTTGCATGAAGTAATAAGCGCAATAGTATCACAATACACAAAGTTTGGCACAGTGATGCACCTTCTTCCTTAAATTCTCTTAAAATTTTAACATTGTGTTCTGGTCTGTACTACTACTGATACATGTCATTAAAACCTATAGTGATAACTAGTCTTGCAATAACTCAAACAAATATAAATTTATGATACTGAATTGAATCATTAGCAAGTAAAGTAATTTATATTATACATATAACAAAAAAATATTAAAAGGTGGATATTTATATTTCATTAAAAAATTAAAAAGTGGGCACATAGTGCCTGTATTAGAATAACATCACAACTTCCATGTGAAAGTTAGAAAAAACCAAACCAAACAAAGAATTATTGTCAAATATAGGCATAATATTTAACTCTGAAATGTATATTTACCAGTATACACATTTAGGTTCTGAAATACAAATTGTGAATATCAAATATCTGAGATTCTGCTTGAGAAAATATTGCTAAAGTTTCACCAGAAGTCCACATTAAGGGATTTCTGATAATTTGTCAGACTTTTCTGAAAGATCTGATCTGTAAGGTCTAAGTGCAGTAGAAAAAATTATTTAATGATGAATCGTAGAGCTTGAGCAAAGGTGTGCATGGGCTATGTACAGACATACAGGGCAGAACTAAGAGGCTACAATCATTGGTCAACATGGGCAGTGATGGAAGTTGTGTTACACTAGTATCTCTATATTTGTTATGACATTCATTAATTAAGATTATAGAACACCACATATTACTAAGCATTTTCTTAAGGATTCAGATTGCAATGGCCGTCATGTAGCAACACTCAGTTATCGTTCAAATATAGTTGTATCACATTCTAAATGGTATAATGGATAACTGGGACACATACCACTCCTGATAAATACAATTATTACTATTTATCTTTAAACCTGGTACAAAATATAATTGAATAGATTTAGTATTTTACAAATACTGTCACTATTCTTTGTTCGATCAAAATCATCTTAGAGATGAATGAGATTGGGAAATAATTTTACACCTTATACTTATCCATATTATACAGTTTATCACAAGTGTTGTACCACTTCCTGCAGTTACGGCAGGATGATGTGTACAGAATTTTCCCTAGTCAATTCAACTGCCAACTTCTACACCATGAAGTGCTAAAGACCCACAACAACCCTTGCATCAATTGCTTTTGGACAGTCTGATAAGTGTAGCAAATAACACATATTTAAGATTTTTATTTTATTAAAAAAAAAAAAGAAGTAAGATGTCCGTTCCTTTAGTCATGCAATATTGTTTAGTGAGATTATCTTGATAATTACTATTTGTGAAGTGATATTATGTAAACAATCACTGTGGTTGAGGAACATTGGTAGGTATGTCATCAGTAGAAATGTGCAAAGGATCGACAGACTGGTCGGGAATAGTGATGAGCATTTTCTCGCCTGCATCTGACGAATTACTACTATCTGAAGACACTGTTGGATTGGAAATATTCTGAAAAGAAAAATAATAGTAGTAATAATTTATTAGAAAACCAAGATCGGCATGATATAAGAGGCATTTGACAGAATCATGAAAATTTCTTCGTCCAAATACTCTATCATATTCTCTACTAAAAGGAACTGATTGGCTTTGTGTTTATACAATAAATTTTGTGTAGCTATATAAATGTAATAAGTAATGAATGTAATAAAATACCCTTTTCTGGTAGGACCCTAATGGCTCACTAAGCTCAACTGGTACCACCAAGCTTCAGCCCAACCCAAGTTTCTGAAACTGATCTTTTGCCACTGCTGTATCTTCCACATGCTCTTTTTAAGTCAGTCCTCTCTTTGGTCTTCCACAAAGTTACATATTTCTGGCAGATTTTGTGTGCTCTGGTGGTGAATTGTTCCATCACCTATGTGGGAGTTTTAGTACTTAGAACAGTTTTTCATGAAGATGTTTGCTAGTTTGTTTATGTTTTCCAATCAATGCCTTTACTGTTGGAATGAATTGTATTTACAGAACAGTCCTTCATTTCCTTTAGGCATACAGTACTGTGCTTTAATGTATGTTTGCATTTCTGTGTGCATAATATTACTGTAGTTTGTGATCACATTTTCTGGTCTGGTATTTTCTGTATATCCTGTACTAATTCTATCTGGCTGCGTTGTTTTTGAGGAGGGTCTCTCTCTTTTTTTTTTACCTGGTAATGTAATTCTATGATGTCTGATAACTCTTGTTTGCTTTCTCTCATTTGATTTTGTATTTACTTGTTTTCCTACTTTTATTCTCATTCTGGGTCTTATCTTTGAGTTAGGGATATGTGACAGTTTGTTGCTCTGTGTCCATACTGTTCTTTTCCATTTTACATAGACAGTTGGCAAGTTCACCATAAAAATATATTTCTGGTCAAGATGTCGAAATCTGTTTATGAGGTTTTACTCTCCAACAGTGGGGCATTTGTGTTGGATGTGATGTGTATAGATTGGAATCTGTGGGAGCCATTTATCACTTCCCTCCAGTCTGGATACTTCTCTTTATGATATATTAGTTGAAGAGCTTTGTGGACTGCATGCTTCTATTGGCTCCCACATGGTTACTTCTGCCCAGGTTCCCCAGCTGCCTTCTTTCAGTACCATTTCTGGATCTTTGTCTCAACATAGATTACCAATTTTTCTAGTGTGATTTTCTTTGTGATTTGCACATCACACAAGTAATGAGACTGGCTTGCAGTGAGTGTGGGGTGGTGATATTGATAAGAGTGCACAATATATGGTTGACGCCATGTGTGATGTTAACGTGAAAACTGACAGTTTTTTTTTTTTTTTGGATGGGGGGGGGGGGGGGGGGGGGTAAAGCAATCCTTGACTCTTCAATATTTCATAAATTATCTCAAATAAGATGACCAAGGTAGTGTTTTATTTATAGAATTATAAGACCAGGATTTGCTTTAAAAATTCAACATACAAATTCCATTTTAGTAAGTAGCAAATATGGCAATTTATTTTTTTAGTAAAGAGAAAAATGTCAGTTTCTTCAAGTGAAATAGGAAAGAGTAGACAAATATGATTGCTATTAAGTAAATTTTGTTCAGAATTTAAGTAGTTTTGAAATATGCAAAAAATATAATATGGTAACATTTCATCACCTTATATGTAATATTCTTTAAAGATTTTCAGTTAGATTTATAAAACACATGAATGATACAAAAAGTAAAATAAAGAGGATAATAGGGTAATTCATCAAAACATGGAGGCTTTTTGGCACTATATACTTGTGCATAAAACCCTTGCTATTATATTATCCCAAACAACATATACAGCTTTTCAAATGGGAGCAAGCACAAAAAGAAACCATCTTCGATAACTTATCCCACAACCCCGTTAAGCATAAGAAAAACTGCAATATCCACTTACATTTGGCAAAACATCCCAACTACTCACCATCACCTTCTGTTTTGTATGAGTTTTGACATGCTTTGAGAGGTGGTCAGAACGCATGAAACGCTTCTGGCATTCTGGACAGTGAAATCGCTTCTCACCAGTGTGTGTGCGCTTGTGACGCTGAAAAATAACAAGATTACAATTAACCAATCATTGTGTGGATATATTTAGTAATGTTCAGTAAGGCAGGCCTTGGCAAGTATATGTAATATACAATATTCTATCTCAAAACAGATGAATGCAAAACACTGATATTATGAGAAATATTGATGGCATCTGTATGCAAAATTATAGTGTGAATGATGACAACTGTAGTAGCAAGCACACACTATAACATACAAGGATGACAAATGGGCTAATATGCACACACCAGAACACAAGTGAGAAGGTGGTGGAGGTCAAAACCATCAATAGTTTCAAAGCAGCATATGACTGAGGAGTACCAGGAAGACAAAATTACCTCCAGCATAGCTCTCATCCTGTAACTTCACTTAGGTAATTACAAGGATGACAACTAGAGTAACAAGCACACATCAGAACATACAAGGATGAACATTTTCAAAAAGAGCTTTGTAATAGCATAACATACCTGTAGCTCATCAGAGCGAGTGAATCTTTTATTGCAGAAAAGCCAGGAGCATCTGAATGGTCGTTCTCCTGAATGCCACCTAAGATGAGCTCTCAGGTGAGATGTTTTGCCATACATTTTGTTGCAGCCAGGAATGTGACAGATGTGTACTTTCTTTTTGTTATCTCCTCCACGATCCCCATCTTTGCAATTTGGACACGTACATGCCACGCGGCGTAATCTTGTCTTGCTTGCATCACTGGTGGGTGAGTGTGCTGGCTGTGGAATCACCTGGGCCTGGTTAACTTGCCCTCCTGTTGATACAACCCATTTGGTGCCCTCACTCTCTCCCTGAAATCCACTAGCACCTAAGAAATAGAGAAATAAATAATCAGTGAATCTTTTAGTTTAAAGTACAGTGGCACCTCGATTAACGAGTTTAATCCGTTCTGGCACCAAGCTCGTCATGTGGAAAACTCGTCTTGCGAAACAACAACAAAACTGTCGTAAAAAGTGTCCGAGAACCAGCAGAAATGCTCGTTAATCGAGGAAAAGCTCGTTAGTAGAGACAAATGTTCTGCGAGTGGCTTGCTCGTTACTCGAGGTGCCACTGTACTGGTATAATACTATAACAATAACAATAATAATAAGAATAACAACAATAATAATAATAATAATAATAATAATAATAATAATAATACACAAAAAATCACATTAAATGATAATTCAATGAGAAAATCAATTGGAGTCATTAGAAGGATTCGAACCAAGCACATGCCTTAAACAATTGGACCATCCACTCCTGCTTGGTTTGAGATCATCTCTTTCAGCCCAAAGACTTCCTTTTGCTTGACTGTGAAGATTCCAAATCTCCTGTTGACTTTCTAACAAAGGTTTATTATTTTTTGCTAATGAGTTTTCCCAATTTATCACCTGTTCCTTCACTGTTATTTTTCTCCCTGATATGGCTGTGCAGAAATATGGATCTTTACTTTACTTTATAAATTATGTCTTGTCAAATTGCCTTTCTGCTCTCCTCCTTACTCTGAGGTATTTATTCCTTGTCCTCTGGTACCTCTTCTTACACACTTGGCAAAGCCATGGGTTAATACTATGCCTTTCATTGTCCTCTCTATGGAAAGGAACAAATTTTGTGAACGGCTTCCAAGCATTTTTTACTGTTTCCCTCTTTCCTTGTTTCCATGATATTTCTGAAGTCTCTTATTTCCTCATAATCTCTCTTTTTAGGAAGCCAGCCTTCTGCTTCCAGACCCCTTATCTTATCAATGCATCCCTTCTCTCATTAGATACTGAAATGCCAGTCCACAAATGTTTATTACCTCACATTATTTTGAGATAATGAAGGCCAGTGAAATCAGTAGCAACCTCCTACCCTCAAACATGAAGGAAGACACCCCAGAGCCCAGCAAGGGCCCCACTGGGAACTGCAGAGAGTCAAAGTAAGTACTGTAAGTAATTATCAAAGAAGACACCAAGCCGGCAGAAAGTCAAAGTTACTGCCAGAGACCCTGGACACTAACCACCAACCCCCTACAAAGCGCAAAAAACAACTGCACCAGGCTAAGTGAGTATACCACTGCACCATGTGGTAGTACACAAAACTCTAAGTTGAATTAATATTTTCCCCAGTTTTTGTTGTGGAGCAGAGCACTAAGAAATATTTTAATAATCAAATAACATACTCTTATAATTATTTTGTATATGAAGCACTAACTGACCTCAAAATCCGATGTTAAACTAACCCAATTTGCATATTACAGTTTTTTTTTTTTTTAGATCATAAGATTTTCCTTACTGATTATTTGTGCGCCTCCTGGTAAAATTTGCGTGGGTATGGCGCTGGTGACCGGCTGAGTTGTGGACGTAGGAACAGCATTCAAAGTGGACATTGAGATGGGTTGTGTAGCTCCTGTTATGGAAGATGTGAGTGTTTGTAAGGATGATGGAGACAGCACTTGCACCTGTTGAAAAAGAGTTCGAGAAATTGTATAAAGTTAATAACTAAACACTATACTAATCATTACCTCTATTATAATGATACAACACATTACTGAAATCTTAATAAATCAAGTACAGTACTGAATGTATGAAATGCCCCTTTCTGGTCAGCCCTAAGTACTTCTTCGGAGCTTAACCCACTAACTAGTAGCTAACTGGGACACTTGCTATGTTTTGGGATACTTTTCATAGAATTTTCCAGTGAACAATCATAACTTGGCATTGTAAGGGCAATCAACAGCAGTCAATTCTACCACTTGGCTCTCCAAGCTTGCTAGTGCATAGGTCCAGATATTGCAAGAATGCTCCCTCCTGATTGTCATTTCTACAAATGCCCGTCACACATGAAAGGCATTAACATAAACTCTTAGGAACAAGAAGGGCTATAAATAAATGTGAAGTAGACTGGCTTCAAAGATCAATTTCGATTGTGGGGATGATATAATTTATGCATACAGTATTTGCATATGCACTCGCAGACAGATTGCAGTGGAAAAATCAATATCACAAACACAAGAAATATTCACTAATGTAATATAAGCCTACTGCACAAATGAAATATAAGGTTAATAAGGATAACACAAGCCATTTAACTGAAGTTATTAGTCATTGCCTACTCAATCTGCAGCAGAGGCCAGTTAGGACAAAATGTGAGGTTGGGTTGTTTGTAGTGGTACTAAGTGTTGCCTCCTAGTGGTGACTTGGAGTAGTGTCACAGTGAGTTGCTTGGTAGTTAACATGGCCAAAGTTTGATGGTATCTGTGTTGCCAAATTGTACTTTGAAAGGCTTTGAGTTTGTGTAATTCATTTTTCTGCCAACATTTTGGGTTGGATTGAATATTCTCCAGTATCTCCCTAGCACCATTATAACCAAGTAAGAACAACTAGAAATGCTTCCCTCTACTTCAGAGGGAAACGTTAACCTGCCAACCAACCAGAAGTCAGTAGGCTTTTGACTCAGGGAGCAACGGAGTGGAATACTTGAGGAAAGTTCATGGCAAAGCAGAGATCTATCTTGAGGTTATCTTGAGATGATTTCGGGGCTTTTTAGTGTCCCCGCGGCCCGGTCCTCGACCAGGCCTCCACCCCCAGGAAGCAGCCCGTGACAGCTGACTAACACCCAGGTACCTATTTTACTGCTAGGTAACAGGGGCATAGGGTGAAAGAAACTCTGCCCATTGTTTCTCGCCGGCACCTGGGATCGAACCCAGGACCACAGGATCACAACTCCAGCGTGCTGTCCGCTCGGCCGACCGGCTCCCATAGATGATAACAGTATCCAACTAACTCTCTTCCCTGCAGAAGCCAATTATAAATTACACTGTATATAGCTATCAATTGCTTGTGCAATTTTTGGATAAATTTCCATTATGTTTACGGGTAATTCACTATAAACAGTACAGTACTAACGAATTCAGAGGTTGTCATAATGCAAAAAAAAAGGACAATTTAATTAGAAATTGAACAATTTATTAGTTAGATTTTTGCAAAACAAAATAGTAATTAAAAGCAAGATATGTTTTAATTGCAGCTGATCAAATGGTGGCATGGGCACTGCCAAAATTAAAACAAAAGAATTCCTTTGAAGACAAAGTATTCCTATTTGGGTTACTTAATAAATAAGAGAAGCCAAACTGGTGATATACTTTGTTTTGTTAAAAAAAAAAAAAAAAATTGATCACTAGATATTCTTACCTGACCAAGACCAGGGATGTGTTGAAACATAGGTTGCATGACCTGTATTTGAGGAATCTGGATGGTATTCTGTTGGGCAGCCACAGCTGTCTGTGCTGTTCGCAGCTGAGATGCCTGACTCACTGGCACCACTGTAACACCACCACCTATTGACCCTGGTAACTGAAGAACAATACAATGCATTACATAATTTTGATGAATGATAACAAAAAATAAAAGGGTTAGGCAACATCACAACCCTTGCTGCTCCTTTCTCCACCCCCAGGAAAGGAGCAGCAAGGGTTGCGATGTTGCCTAATGCTTAATGATAGTGTTTAAATATTATTGCACACTACAGTATTCCAGTAGACAAAAATGTTGCCAATATACTGAACAACCGAACTGTGTACGAGATGGACACTTCGACAAGACTAATTCAAATATTTTGAGCAACTGTTTATAAAAATATATAAAATTATTTTTTGAGCTTCATTAACCCTTAACATGCTCGGGGTTTAATATCCTGTCATCCCCACAGGCGCATGTCATTTTGAAAAAAAAAAAATTATTTTTTCTTCCTAACCTGTTAATATGTGTTTACTGATCACGGGAAAAATAATAAAAAAATCGTAAGTGGCATATATTGCCCGCTATAGGGCGGGGAAGTCTGGCAAATTATAGGCGCTGACTCAGCATGCGTCCCAGGCGGTCTGTTGCTCGCCAGCTGTCAGACCGGAGTTGCCACAAAGAGATAATTACCGAATTATTTCAATGTCTCTGATTGATTTTTCATAGTTTTTTTGCTGTAATATTATTCAATAGTGTGTAGTTTGATATATTTATATAATAAAATGAGTAAATCATTGCTGTACTCAAAAATATGGTGTGCATATTGTTGATTCAATTATGTTCATTAATCAGTGAACAAATACTTTGTCGGTTATTACACTATAAGCACAGGTTATATATAAGTATCTGCATGTTTTGTTCACTATAACGAACCATTAAGTAGCTATTATGAGTCAAAAAGTAACGAGGAGTGACCGCCGTGTACCAGCCAGCCACTCCCGCCCTCCCTCCAGTCATCTGACTCACCCACATTCTCCTCCCACAATAATGTTTTTGCTATAATTCACTATATACAGACGTTATATATAAGTATCTACATGTTTTGTTCACCATAACTGTACATCTAAGCTTGTATGGTGAGTAAAGGCACAAAGACGTAAGACCTCACACAGTCAGCTGATGGCTGCCGCCCTCAAGGCCAGACGCACTAATATTTCTCCTCCAACAATACTGTGTGGTGTTATTACGCTATATATACACATTATATATAAATATCTACCTGTTTTATTCACCATACTTGTACAAATAAACTAGTATGGTGCCCAAAGACCATCGTGGTAACCAGTAAACAACACCGTCGTCTGCACGGTGGCGTCGTGCAGACGACGCCACCGCCCTCACCAAAATGGCGGCTCCAAACCTTCTCTTGCTGTTTATACCCTCTATACACACGTTATATATAAGTATCTACATTTGTGTTCATCATAGCGAACCACTAAGCTGGTATGGTGAGTGCAGTCAATAAAAGATGGCCACACACAGTCAGAAGACATCGCCACCATCTTCCCTCCCACAGCATTACTCCTCCCTCCATGGCACACAGCACTAAATATCACCACAATCCTGCTATTATCAGAACCCTGGTCAGTTTTATCACAGTCAGGGGTCTTCTGTAATAATATCATCGCTACATAATAGCATGAACAAGTATATTTTGGCATTTTTAGGCGATGCTGTGGTCACAAGCTGAACAGCAGTGCTGTTAGGTCATGCTGCGTGTGTCAGGCTTGGTTGCTCACTCAATGCTGAGGCCAATAACACCCGCGAGTTTGGCCCACGATTTTTAAAAAAAATGGCGTCTGTTTACAAGAGCCCTGATGAAGGTGTGTTGAACCCCGTGTATCCGCGGGCCGTTTAAATCTTGCGTAGTACTCCAACACATCATATGACATGATGCGCAGTTAACTGGAACAACGTCCAACACGTCATATGACGTGATGCGCACTTTAAGGGTTAAAATGTCAAATATAGTATTTTATAGTCTCCGTGGTGTAGTGGTAAGACACTCGCCTGGCGTTCCGCGAGCGCTATGTCATGGGTTCGTATCCTGGCCGGGGAGGATTTACTGGGCGCAATTCCTTAACTGTAGCCTCTGTTTAATGCAACAGTAAAATGTGTACTTGGATGAAAAAACGATTCTTCGCGGCAGGGGATCGTATTCCAGGGACCTGCCCGAAACGCTACGCGTACTAGTGGCTGTACAAGAATGTAACAACTCTTGTATATATCTCAAAAAAAAAAAAAAAAAAAAAAAAAAAAAATATATATATATAAACGTATCTCAAAATAAGCTCACAGAGAAATAGGGTTTAATCTCTTACTTGTGGAGACACGGTGATGCCTTGTGGTAGCAGCTGTGAGGCATTTGAGACTGTTATGCTTGTTCCAGGGCCAACTATTTGTGACTGGCTTGTTGCTGTTATGCTGTTAGCTGCTCCTGTGGATACCTGAGAAACACTCAAAATTCTTTAATCTCGGAAACAATTTCAATACTTTTGTTGCTATAGTTACAGTAAGTAAGAGATTAAGAAGTTTCACTAAAGTTCATTTTACTGCAATGATATTCTGCCATTTTAATATTTAAAATAACACAACAGCACAATTACTTTGTCTTTATATTGATTCTTGCACATTACCACACTTTTTTCTCCCAACAGCACAACTTATACAATTGTATCTAAAAAATCCTAATTATATAATTTTAGATTCAATCCAGATTTCTATAAATTTTATTTATTTTGGACAATTTATCACCAAATTTTCCAGATTTTTCTTATAAGAAATGATACAATAAATATTTATACATATTTAGTCACGATCTATCTATATAAAATTGAATGTCTGTTTGTCCAAAGTAGAAGGGCAGATGCTCGGCTTTACTTAACTTTCACATTTGAAACATAAGGCTTATGTGTAAAAAGCCTGTCAGGTTCAGCCTAAGAGCTTACTTATCAGTAACTACAAATGAGTGAGATTTAGCGTTTTATGCCCTGCCTCCTAACTGTTTATACCTGCAGTGCTAATTACCTCTCTCAACATTAACATTTCCATCATATTCCATAATTCCATTCTATCATGGAATATTTCCACCATATTCCATTTCTTGGATGAGAACAGCTGGAGCCTGTCCTCATCCAGGAGTTAAGAGCCTGTCCTCATCCAGGAGCTAGGGTCTGTCCTCAGTCAGGAGCTAAGACCTGTCCTCAGGAGCTAGGACCTGCACCCAGCTATGGTAGAAACTAAGCATTATTTTCGGGTAGCTGCTATAGATTGCTAGGCACTAGAGCCTGTCTTTAGGCAGGAGCTAAAGCCTGTCCTTGGCCAGGAGCTAGAGCTTGTCCTCAGCCAGGAGCTAGAACTTGTCCTCAGACAAGAGCCAGATTCTGCTCTCAGCAAGCGGCTAAATTCTATCCTCGGCCAGAAGCTAGAGTCTGTCCTCGGCCAGGAGTCAGATTCTATCCTTCAGTTGGGAGCTAGGTTGTCCTTTGCATGAACATCTGCCACAGAAACCCATTCTTCACCTATCTGGTTCCTTAAGATACTTCTTGCAGAAGAATATATATTATGTATCTATAATCACATTATAGAAGAGAAAACATAATTTTGGTCTGTCAGTGACTACCCTAAATTCAGAACTATTAGAAATAAAATGGCACAACAAGGAACAACAATACTCCGTAACAAAATATCCTCAGGTTGATCAGATTTTCTATAAATATCAACAAGACCATTACAAAGATTAATCAACACTGAGATCAAGACTTGGTTTATTGCTCTTGTCTGATAACAGTGACTTACAAAGTTTAATAATGTTATTTCCTTGAACAGTATGATTAAATTGAACTGATAAATATGTGATACAGTAGAGAAATTAAAACTATCCACATCACTTGTGTGATGGGGTAGGTCACCATCAATCAGATAATGGTATATATGTAAAGTGTTAAGACTCACTAAACTAGTCATCACATACCTGCTGTGCTTGTGACTGCTGCTTGTTATCGCCAGTGGCACTAGTGGTTGTGCTGTTATGGACAGCTGGTATAGCAACAGAGGGTGTTGCGATGGTGCTGGTAGCCCACGTGGATGTGGTAATGGGTTGGGATGTAGCCAGCTGGGTCATGGTGGCAGCAGTGCCTAGACTGGCAGAGCCCAGGGACATCATACCAGAGGCACTACCCCATAACATCTGAACTTGCTGCACCTGCCCATTGGGAAGTAGAATTTGTGCGAACTGGGGTTGAGCTTGAACCTGCAGAAAAAATCATCAATAGTATACAGTATACAAACATTTTGAAAATAATTTTCATATTTCCTTGTTGATAATGATATCAAAATTTGTATCCCAAATGAAGGCCTCAAGATCTATAAAGAGATCCACATACATTAAAAGCTGATGGTTCTGCACAGAGTTGAACAGATCTACATTGGGTAATCAGAATGCCTTGCATTTCAAATAAGGGAGGACCTGTCCACTTACCAATAACGTTTGTCAAAATTAGGAAGAGGGAGAAACTGTCCACTAGCAAAAATCAGGGTTGGTGTGGTAGCTACCCACTTACCAGCCTGGCCCAAAAGGTAAGTTAAGGTAATTATCAGGAAAGACCACTAATTAATTATGAGAATATAGCATTTGGAAAGAATAAGAATTTAGGATAAGGCCAAGGATATGAATGGCACCCAACCACTTGGATAGTCAGATTAATATAAGCCAACTTAGTTAATTCTATTTAAATTTAAACCTGCATTTTTTATCCATTCATTAAATAGATAAAAACCCAACCTGCTCCAACCAGAGTAGGTTGGGTTTCAAGAAAAACCTGGGTTTTTATCAACCCTGCCAAAACTCCAGAAGAATGGAGAGCCCCTACTCAGGAAATGAACCACCAGCAAACAAGACATGATGCTAGTGAAGTGACACCAAACAGCCACTAATTCCTGGACCATAATATGGCTACCCCACAATGCTGGAGACCAACACCCCTTGGCTGGTTTGGCTGCAATTGATTGCAAAACTGCAACAGCTCAAGTGACAGGGCTGGAGGTCACCATGTAACTGAACCCTGAAAAATACAAGGAGGGATATGATGAAGCAGAAGAATCCTCAGGCCCAGAAGAGTACACTGAGCAGTTCTTGAACCAGAGGAGTGCTGACCACCTGGGAAACTGTTACAGCACTTTCAGCCTAACCTAGACTAGAGGATACATAATACAGGTAAAGTCCATTTGACACAGCAGCCCTCAAGTTTGTGACTCGAGAGATAGCTTCTGCTAAGCACACACTGGTGGAGCGACTCACCGTTTATAACACAAGACACAGTAGGGCGAGGGGAAGGCTGACCTATGACCCAAATTAACCTCAGCTATTGCAGAAGCAGTGCTGGTGACAACTGTGACTTTGGGAATATGATATTGACACTTTCCACTACTATCTATCATTGGAAATGCATATGCAAAAGTGCATAAATTCTATCATAGTTCCCCGTCAATATTTTTCCTTCGAAAATTACCCCCCCCCTCCCATCAATTATAATCCTTCTTATTTCTAAGAGGTTATATTAATGCCTGTCATGCTTGCTCAGGTATTTATATAAATTTCAAGCATCAGAAGATAACCTGGGCCTGTTTGCAAGCAGGCTGGGGTAGCTAAGAGGCAGAATTGACCACTGAAGGTGACCTTTCAATCACATCTCCATGTATTAATGGTTCCACATCTCAAGGTCAAAGTTGATCTGCTATACTTATCAGTACAGACAGCAAATAACCCAAGTATCCAGTTACATTTGGTTTCTGAAAACTTGAAAAAAAAAAAATCCTGAACAAATCACTTGGGAAGAGATAACACTAATTGTGTCTACCAAGAATAAAAGTGTAAACTGTACAAATGAACTGCCAAGTTAACTCAAGCAAAACCAAAGATATCAATTGCCATACTTCTTCAGTAATCTCTACATAGAAGAAAGAACATTGAACACACCATCTATTTTGAAGACAACAATGGCTCCCTCAACCATGTGAGAAAATCAAGCTGCAGAGAAAGCTGTTTTTCCTTTATATTGCTGTATTTAAAACATAACTTCAATTCCAATAATATCGTTACAATAAAGGCTAGGGTACTGCAAGTGCCCACACAATGCATGGTGTGCTCATCTCTACTCACTCATGCTCCCAAGATGTATAACTTCATATAAAAAATCACACACACACAATGTAAAATTGATTTTCAATTCATTCTCAAACCCAATGATACAATATAATTATTGAAACAGAAGTTGAAGTGTTTTGGATGACATATACAGTATGTCTCCAGAGCATGAATGCATGTGATATTTGGCCTATGCTGTATTTATATTTTAACCTTGCTAGGCTTTGAAGCAAAATAGGTTTAATTTTGATCCAAAATTTCTTGCCTAAAAATTTTGAATTTTACCATGTGTAGCTTATATTTGTATGCAGATAAATTAAAGAAACCATTAAAATCAATTATCCATTGATTAGAGTTTATTAGGTCAGACCTGGTAATGTTTCAAGCTGATTTAAATTATCATTACTATATTGAAAATTAATTTTGAGCCCTTACAACCTTACCTGTGCCAGCTGAGGCATGACCTGTAATGTTTGACCATTTGCTTGAACCATATTTGGTAGGACAGGAATCTGTACAGGAAAGGGAATAGTCTGTAGAACAGTCTGGCCTCCAGCTGTAGATATGGGTATTTGGACTGGAATGGTGGCCTGGGGCATGCCAGCAACCCCAGATTGCATCACTTGTGTTGCCATCTGGCTCACTTGAGCTTGTGTGGCAGTTGCCTGGCCTCCTCCTGCAGTTGCGGTGCCTGTTGCAGTTCGAACACCACCAACAGTAATTGGCTGGAAAAGTAAGTAATATACTGGTCAAAACTATGTTAACTTTTTAATACTGTACTGTATCAATATTAGTGAAAATTGTAAATACTGTACTCATATCACAACTGACTATAAAAATTATACTGTATTAAAATACAAAAAGCAGTTCCCTAAAATTAGTATTTTTGGCTATACTAATTAGAATGAAATTCAACAACACCAAATTGTGACTAGATTCTTCTTTTTATTTTAGTCATGATTATTTTCTTGAAAAATTGAAAAAAGACAAAAGAAATAGGGTTTCCTTTCCAGAATTTCTGCACTACATTTTTCAACATTACAATACAATTCAGTATAAAGATAATATAAAATAAAATAAAAATAATTGACATTTTTTGGAATTATGACAATGATAAACCGTGCTAAATAGTTTCTCTTCAGTAATGTGTGTTGAGACTAGATCATTGTCCAGTGCGCTACTGGAAGATTACTTATCAGGTATGGTCATGACAGAGCACCTCCACATAACTGTGTCTAGCGATAGCATTCAAGCCTCACCTGTACAGAGAGGATCAGAGTGCACAAAGGCAACTTTCCATTAACAGAACAAATTTATGAGGCAAATGAAAATATTTACTTTAATTATTAGTCATTTATCTATAAATTAAATACATAAGTTTCTTAACAGAAATGAATCACTGATGCATCATAACTGTAACTTCAGAGGCAGTCTTACCGTTCCTACTTGGCCTACACTCTGCACATTCTGGATAATGTTTTGTGCTCTTATTATCTGTCCCGTTGGCGTAAATATGGCCTGATTTCCTGCAATCTGTATCTGCTGTGTGGCAGGTGCATGCTGAACAGATGCTGGTATGTATATGGCTTCCTGTCCATCAATGGTCACCGTTTGCATCTGAGCCTGGGGCATCACCGAATATGTCTGGCCATTTGCAGTGATGATCTGCGTAGCTTGGGGCTCTCTCCCCTGCAAGAAAAATATTTATAAAATAAATTGGCTCATAAAATATTATGCATCTGCGCACTTCCTATAAGTTAGGCCAAATGCAAGAAAACAGAATTAAACTCATATATACAATATTATATATTTAACATCATTTCCTTCTTTTTATACCATATACTTATTATTTGTACAGTACTTAAAATAAATAAAAAATGTAAAGTTTTAAACCTTTTACTTATTGTTTTGAAACAAAACCTTATAAAATAGCAAGAGAAAAATTAATACGTTAACTGATAAATTTATTGAGCTTATAGTAACCCCTTTTTTATACAAAGTAGTTAGGAATAATAATAAACACTTACAACATTTTACTAATGGTATAATTTCCTTTCTTATACATATGTGGTTAGGTTAGGTTACGCAAAGATCTTACAGCGAGGTGCAAAATAATAAGCCAAACGTGTGCAACTTGACATGGCGATCAATGAGCAGATAACCAGATCAAGTAACCTGGGAGCAAAGACTTCCCAAACAAAAATATTCAAAGTACGGTAAACGTAATGTAACCTAACCAGAAGTGTGCAGTATAAAAAAGAAAACACAATACCGTACAGTACTTCAACGGTTTCTTCCATCGCTGGAATAAAAACCACTGGAATCAAGTAACAAACTTTTATCATCCATTTCAAGCACATTTATACAACCATTTACTAAATTTGTTTACATGAAACCCACATCTACAAGCAAATTATACACTCTATATTTTAAGTTTATACAGATGTTTAGTCTAATCTAACTATAAATCCATCCACTAAAAAATTGGAAATAACTTTTAGTTATTACAGTCTTAAACCTCTATTGCTAAGAAAAATATAGTCAAGTGGATTTATTAACTAATATCATATGATCACTTGTCACAAGAGCATCCTTGACCTCACTTCATATTTCCTAGGTTATGTATCCTAACCTCAGTCATTTAGGTTATGTATCCTAACCTCAGCCATTTAGGTTATGTATCCTAACCTCAGTCATTTAGGTTATGTATCCTAACCTCAGTCATTTAGGTTATGCATCCTAACCTTAGTCATTTAGGTTATGTATCCTAACCTCAGCCATTTAGGTTATGTATCCTAACCTCAGTCATTTAGGTTATGTATCTATTTATTTATTTATTTATTTATTTATGCATATACAAGAATGTACATAAGGAATGTGAGGATACAAATATGGTATCCTAACCTCAGTCATTTAGGTTATGTATCCTAACCTCAGCCATTTAGGTTATGTATCCTAACCTCAGTCATTTAGGTTATGTATCCTAACCTCAGCCATTTAGGTTATGTATCCTAACCTCAGTCATTTAGGTTATGTATCCTAACCTCAGCCATTTAGGTTATGTATCCTAACCTCAGTCATTTAGGTTATGTATCCTAACCTCAGCCATTTAGGTTATGTATCCTAACCTCAGCCATTTAGGTTATGTATCCTAACCTCAGTCATTTAGGTTATGTATCCTAACCTCAGCCATTTAGGTTATGTATCCTAACCTCAGTCATTTAGGTTATGTATCCTAACCTCAGTCATTTAGGTTATGTATCCTAACCTCAGTCATTTAGGTTATGTATCCTAACCTCAGTCATTTAGGTTATGTATCCTAACCTCAGTCATTTAAGTTATGTATCCTAACCTCAGTCATTTAGGTTATGTATCCTAACCTCAGCCATTTAGGTTATGTATCCTAACCTCAGTCATTTAGGTTATGTATCCTAACCTCAGTCATTTAGGTTATGTATCCTAACCTCAGTCATTTAGGTTATGTATCCTAACCTCAGCCATTTAGGTTATGTATCCTAACCTCAGTCATTTAAGTTATGTATCCTAACCTCAGTCATTTAGGTTATGTATCCTAACCTCAGTCATTTAGGTTATGTATCCTAACCTCAGCCATTTAGGTTATGTATCCTAACCTCAGTCATTTAGGTTATGTATCCTAACCTCAGCCATTTAGGTTATGTATCCTAACCTCAGCCATTTAGGTTATGTATCCTAACCTCAGCCATTTAGGTTATGTATCCTAACCTCAGCCATTTAGGTTATGTATCCTAAATTCAATCACCTAGGTTATGCATCCCTAGGCACTTAGTTTATTTATCCTTACCTCAGTTATGTAGTTTGTGTATTTTTTATTATATACATAAGCTTGTGTAATCTTTACTCCATAACTACACTTGTGCACCCTTTACTCCATAACTAGACTTGTGTACCCTTTACTCCATAACTACACTTGTGTGACCTTCACTCCATAACTACACTTGTGTGACCTTCACTCCATAACTATAATTATGTGCCCTTTACTCCATAACTACACTTGTGTGACCTTCACTCCATAACTATAATTATGTGCCCTTTACTCCATAACTGCACTTGTGTGCCCTTTACTCCATAACTGCACTTGTGTGCCCTTTACTCCATAACTGCACTTGTGTGCCCTTTACTCCATAACTGCACTTGTGTGCCCTTTACTCCATAACTATACTTGTGCGAACTTTACTCCATAACTACACTTGTGCATCCTCTACTCCATAACTACACTTGTGTGCCCTTTACTCCATACCTATAATTATGTGCCCTTTACTCCATACCTATAATTATGTGCCCTTTACTCCATAACTGCACTTGTGTGCCCTTTACTCCATAACTAAGCTTGTATAATCTTTAATCCATAACTAAGCTTGTATAACCTTTAATCCATAACTAAGCTTGTATAACCTTTAATCCATAACTAAGCTTGTATAACCATTAATCCATAACTAAGCCTGTATAACCTTTAATCCATAACTAAGCTTGTATAACCTTTAATCCATAACTAAGCTTGTGTACTTTAACCGCTGTACTTCAACGCTGTTTGAATGTAATTTTCTGTAATAATCTGTAATTGTATTTGTGCTGCTTTTTCAACAATGTTCCCCCCTCTTTTACCTCTATTTTTATTTGTACTCAACACATTTTATTCTTTTTACCCATTAGTTTTAAGCTTTAGTCATTAGTGTTTTTTCCTGCCCGAAACGCTTTGCGTAATAGTGGCTTTAGGCATTGTATGTACTAGCTCTATCTATAAAGCCAACAAACTTTGTAAAATCTCTTTATGTATGTACCTTTACCTAAATAAAAATTATTATTATTATTATTATTAATCCATAACTAAGCTTGTATAACCTTTAATCCATAACCAAGCTTGTGTACCCTTTATCCATTACTAAGCTTGTGTAACCTTTACTCCATAACTAAGCTTGTGTAACCTTTACTCCATAACTAAGCTTGTGTAACCTTTATCCGTAACTAAGGTTGTGTACCCTTTATCTATAACTAAGATTGTGTACCCTTTATCCATAACTAAGCTTGTATAACCTAATCCATAACTAAGCTTATGTAACCTTTACTCCATAACTAAGCTTGTGTAACCTTTAATCCATAACTAAGCTTGTATAACCTTTAATCCATAACCAAGCTTGTGTACCCTTTATCCATTACTAAGCTTGTGTAACCTTTACTCCATAACTAAGCTTGTGTAACCTTTACTCCATAACTAAGCTTGTGTAACCTTTAACCATGACTAAGCTTGTGTAACCTTTATCCGTAACTAAGCTTGTGTACCTTTTATCTATAACTAAGCTTGTATACCCTTTATCCATAACTAAGCTTGTGTAACCTTTATCCATAACTAAGCTTGTGTAACCTTTATCCGTAACTAAGCTTGTGTACCTTTTATCTATAACTAAGCTTGTATACCCTTTATCCATAACTAAGCTCGTGTAACCTTTATCCATAACTAAGCTTGTGTACCTTTTATCTATAACTAAGCTTGTATACCCTTTATCCATAACTAAGCTTGTGTAACCTTTATCCATAACTAAGCTTGTGTAACCTTTATCCGTAACTAAGCTTGTGTACCTTTTATCTATAACTAAGCTTGTATACCCTTTATCCATAACTAAGCTCGTGTAACCTTTATCCATAACTAAACCTGTGAACCCTTTACTCCACAACTTGTGCCTTTTACTCTATAACTTATTTACTCTCTAATACATAGTCTGTGTACCCTTAACAATAGTCAGTCACTTTTTGTTGTTATTGGGCCCAGGGACAACTACACCACATCTCAAGTCACTTAATAGTTAGAATATTCTTCACTCTAGTTCTTTGTTTACTTAAAACAGAACCCGAGACAAAATAATCTTCTTAGGAAATGACTCACGTGACTCAGGTATTTCAGCGTACGTTAACTAAGGAATCTTTCCCATTAACAAAATTATATTATCATCCAGGGTGTACTTATATTCCAGGTGAACTCTTAAAAAATGCCTTGCCTGAATCTCTAATAAAATATAATAACCTTTTATTATCATACTTTATTGATAATAAATACTTTAAAAATTAGCTATTGAACAGCTGTATAAAATTAAATTCAGCAACAAAGTATTTGATAAATGAAGTGAACAACTGCATATAATGACGTAGTACAACTGCTAGACTGAGCAACATGTATAAATGTTAAAGTCAGCGTGCCTCCACACTAGGTAGGCGGATCAAACAATGCAAGACTCATGCAAGTCTAGTCAGAGACTATTATTCCTTAGCGTTTCTGTAATATATTACACGATTATTTTGAACGCAACCTGGCAACAAAAGTACTCCCGCAAAAGGTTTGTGATTTTGAAGTATATTTAATTATTAATCACAAGATCGTTCTTACATAACGTATTAATTATTTAATTATTACGTACAAATTGTGCAGTTGTGCATATATCGTGAACATTTGTGAAGACCAAACATGCCAGCTGGAGAAATGTCGACTGTCTCCTCGGGTCTTTAGTTTAAACCATCCCCTTAAATAGTAAATGGCATTTTGACATATAAATTCCTTAAGATCGAAAACTTATGTAGTACTAAAAATCATAGTGGCTCGTAATATTTACGTGATATCCCGTTTTCTATAAGTCGGTCCGCGGTTATGTTAGGTTCGGGCAACTTAGTACATCAGTTCAGTGGCGTTGTGAACGCTCGAGAGGACGGGTTGCGGGTTGTGTCAACTACGAATCCCAGGCAACTCTAGAGCCGTAGTGAGTGACTGTCATACTGACTCGCCTGTGTCCTGTATACTATACGTGTCTCGTACTCACTTCTGGCTGCCATTTAAACCAGGTATGTCATTGATGTATAGGCTGCACGTGTCTTCCTTAATGACAGTCACGTAGGTTATACATGTGTTCACCATACTAAGACTCACGTAGGCCACATGTGTTTACCATACTGACACTGACACTGTCACATGATTAGCCAGGTTGTGTTGTGTACGTCAGGCTACGAGCAGCCGGGTCCAACAGCCTGGTTGACCAGTCCACCAAGTTGGAGACCTGGTCACAGGACCGCGGGGACACTGATCCTCTGAATCACCGCAAGATAGGTTACACGTTTTTACAATGCTGACACTGCCAAGTAGGCTACAGTACACTAGTCTGCCATATTGACATTGTCATGTGGGTTACAGTACGTGTCTGCCATACTGACATTGTCATGTATTCTACAGTACATGTCTGCCATATTGGCAGTTAGGTAAGCTACAGTACACGTTTGCCATACTGACATTGTCATGTAGGCTACAGTAAACATGTTTACTTATGTCATAGGCTTACTTTGTAATTAAGATTAATAGAAACTAATAATATTTATTATTACAGTTTAAGTATTTTACTAATAATGACTAATTGTAGGTTTTTGTTACTACTGTTTCACATTAAAAAGTAATTGCCTTCCATTATCGTTATTAATTATTATAGTAATATTTTACCAATCTAATTTCTGTATACAGTATTATCATAATTAAATTGTTTTATGTTCCAATACAATTATTATTGTCTAATGATTTGTAAATGATTAATATTTATTACAGCATTATTCATTATTTCAGTGCAGGTTGCCAGAGTAATTAAAGGAAGTAATAGTTGGGTAGTTCAAAAATGATTTATCCTTTATTGCTTTATCTTTGATCCTATGGCAAATATACGACTATAGATACTTGGAAGGTGAGAAAAACAGGTTAATATATAGATAACAGAGTCAACAGTGTGTAGTAGAGATTGAGATAGAAAGTAACCTAGAGCTATAGGGCAAGGTCAGTGTTATGCTTCTCTATTGGTGTAGGGCCTCATATAGACTGCCAGTATTCCTTGTGATGTCTCGCTTTCTCATCTGCCATGCTAAATGCACTCTGCCTTTCGCTTTTCATCAAAATTCATTTGTTGTACAGGTATTGCATAATTTGGGGATTAATATAAAAATATATAATAACGACTTTTTAGGCATTTATATACAAACTCGTCACCATTGCAAGTAATCTGAATAACTCACACGTGACAAGGAAAATGCATAAATGCCAATACTATTTATAATGATATATTCTTACACCAGTTAAGTCCTCGCTCCACACATACTGTCTCCAAGAAGACATAGTGAACGCTTGGCAGTGTAATCCGCTACAGCAGCCACTGACAACAGCCTCTAGTTCCTGTTCAAGTGTCCTGTCGCCAACCAGAACAATACATAAATTATTAGGTAAAAATATTAGCAACTATATGCATTACATTAAAAAAATTATAAATAAAAATAAAAATGTATACAACAGCCTGAATGTAGACGCCACGCTCATAAATTGCTTAACCAACTGGTTGGCTAAGCAATATTGCAACACTCAATATGGTACATGTATTACACTTGATACATGTACCGTATTGTGTAACCCATTATATGAAGTGCTTGATCTACATGTACTGGTTGGCCCAACCGCTTGGACTGGACAGTATTGCGACGGCCTTGCTTCTAGCAGGTTCGCGTTCAATCCCCGACCGTCCAAGTGGTTGGGTACCATTCCTTTACTCTGTCCTATCCTAAATCCTTATCCTCATATCCTTTCCAAGTGCTATATAATCGTAATGACTTAGTACTTCTGATAGTTGCCTTGCCTAACTTGCATAGTACATTCTTCTGACAATTGCCTTGCCTATCTTACATATACTGGGTGTAAACCACTATACTGTATTGTTCTGTGTAATCTAATGGAGTAAAGCTAGAAAATAATATAAAATGTAATACTATTACAAGTCAAAGACAGTTTATCGGGGCGAAATTAAGGACAGACTTAGAGAATGTAGTTGTACTGACAGTCCAAGGGCAACACAATTTTCAGGTCAGCCTAAAGACAGCAATTATTGAGTCTCAGAAAAATTTATTATTAATAGTTTAACTGGAAATTACTTTATCAAAGAAAATCCCTCAACAGTACAATTACCAAGACAGTATCGCAACAATGCAATTACTTAGACAATCCTGCAACAATACAATTATAAAAAAACCTAGGGTGTTGCAAGTATCGTTTAAAAACACTACAATTATTAAGTCAATGACAAGACACTACAATTATCAAGACAGTAAAAAGACATTGCTCTTATCAAGACAGGACATTGCAAATATCAAAACAGTAACTGGACAAAGCAATTATCAAAACAGTAACTGAACAAAGCAATTATCAAGACAATAACAGGACACGGCAATTATCAAAATAGTAACTGGACAATGCAATTATCAAGACAATAACAGGACACGGCAATTATCACGACAATAACAAGACTGCAATTATCAAGACAGTAACAGGACACTGCAATTATCAAGACAGTAACAGGACACTGCAATTATCAAGACAGTAACAGGACACTGCAATTATCAAGACAGTAACAGGACACTGCAATTATCAAGACAGTAACAGGACACTGCAATTATCAAGACAGTAACAGGACACTGCAATTATCAAGACAGTATTGGATACAGCAATTATCAAGACAGTAACAGGACACTGCAATTATCAAGACAGTAACAGGACACTGCAATTATCAAGACAGTAACAGGACACTGCAATTATCAAGACAGTAACAGGACACTGCAATTATCAAGACAGTAACAGGACACTGCAATTATCAAGACAGTAACAGGACACTGCAATTATCAAGACAGTATTGGATACAGCAATTATCAAGAGTAACAGGACACTAAAATCATGACACTGGAATTATCAAGGCAGTAACAGGACACGGCAATTATCACTACACTAACAAAATAACAAGGACGTTTGTCTGGACACCGTAGACTTCATCTGGTAAGTACACCTAATGTATGTAATTTATTTGATGTCCAATACAGAGCCACGAAGACTGATCCCGCGAACCTCCTCAGGGTAACATTAAGAGTCTAGGTAGTACATTTGGATTCGTTCTAGACTCATAATCGAAAATTCCTGGTTCTAATCCCTGGTGAGACAGAAATGGATGGGCACGTTTTCTTACACCTAATGCCTCTTCACGTGGCAGTAAGTTGGTATCCAGGAGTTAGACAACTGTTGTGGGGTTGCATCCTAGAGGAAGTACTTCGACCTTGGGGGGAACCTGATATACGCCTAAAGTGTGTGTTTGTATTTACTGTGTATATATATATATATATATATATATATATATATATATATATATATATATATATATATATATATATATATATATATATATATATATATACAGGATGCTCGTCTCCGACAAAACGAATTATTTATAGGAGTACCTCGTTGACCACCAGGATGACATACACTGCGTTTATTTGGGATTATGCATGTTTTTACCTGAATTTACCCGAGGGCCACCATCCTTCCTACTGGCCACGACGGGGACAGGAAGCCGGGGGCTTGTCAAACGTTCCTCTATTTATCCTGCATTTTGAACTGCAGTATTGCCTTGGCATTGGTTGCTGTGAATGATTGTGACGCTGCTGTCCTGTCACTTCCCTGTTGTTGAGTAAGATCGGGAGGTTGTCCTGCAAGGTATATACTACGTGATATACCGGCTCATTGATATAAGAGTTATCTCGAGTTACTTAAATAATTCACATAAATTGGTAAACAGTAGTCGTACAGTATACGATTGTCGGGGGGCAGGAGGCCTGTTTAGGCTTATGGTAGTCCTAGCCACCAGTGATGCTGTCCTCTATCCAGTTACTTGATAGACCCAACAACAGTTAACATGACTTCATGTTGTCCTGTGACATGGGCGGCTCGGAGTCTAGTACATGGGCTGCCATGGTTGTCCTGGGATATGGGCGGGTGTGTCCTGTATAAGGGCGACCATGCTTGTCCTGATATGGATGGCTCCGGGTGTCTTAAGCGATATGGGCGGCCCCAGGTGTCCTGTGTAATATTGGTAGCTCTGTCCTGTGTGGTGTGGGCGGTCATGCTTGTCCTGTGTGATATGGGCGACTGTGAGTGTCTTGTGTGGTATGAGCGCTGGTGGTGGGGGTCCTGTGTGAAATGATGTTACACTGAACAAGTTGTTAAGTAATATATGGGCGGTGAAGGTTGTCCTGAGTTGGGGGTGTGGCGAGGAGGATGGTCCCTTGTTATATATGGTTGCCCTGGTTGTTCTGGGCGGTGTCTGGAGGTAGTGGGTGGGTGGAGGATGGTGTTGTGGGCGGGGTGTGGGCGGGTGAGGGCGGGGACAGTGTGAGGGAACAGGAGGCGACACACGATGGGCCTACCATCACCGCCCACTGCCCCGCCCAGCTCCTCACCACACACTCACCACACACTCGCCACATACTCGCCACACACTCAGCCTGGCAAGAGGGAGGGCGGTGTGTGTCGGGCGGGGCTGGCGTGGGCGGTGGGTGGAGGTGGTGTGGGCGGTGCCCCAGGAGGTAGGCTGGCCCCAGGCCTGTCCTGCAGCACGTGGCTCCTGTCTGAGTGCCGCCTCCTGCTAGGCGGGGCCTAGCCTGCCCTATACACCACACCATATACACTCTCCCCTCGAGTCCTGAGCCGCCCTCCCCGCCCTCTCTCTCACCTGCGACGCCGTCTGCTGCACCATGGGTTCCGTCTTCATCGCCTGCACCGTCTGCCCGGACATAGCTTCCCACACCGCCAATATTAAACTCGCAACACCACACTTTATCCTAACAGATTCAAAGCTTCTCTTGTGAGGACGACTGTGGAGTTTCACCAGTGTATCCCTCCGCCATGGGTGGAGATTGCCACCCCCGCCCCCAGCTGCCGCCCCTCATCCCGCTCACCCACCATCCTCACACAACACCTCTCATACAATTTACACTTTGCGTGCTATGATCTGCTAATATATTTATACAAGATTGTGAGTTTGTGCTTGGAACTAGTTTGCGCGTGAGGGTGTTGTAGGAAGAGAGGGGCGGCGGGAGGGAGGTGTTGGGTGCTGTGATTGGTGGAGACGCCGCCCCGAGGCCGCCCACGACCTTCACCACCCCGCTACACATCGCTCAATACCATATTGTTTCATCACTACACTTTCTTCCTTTCCTCTCTTTCACACTAAATTATTCTCAATTTTTACCGTCAATATCATCGATAATCTTGAATTCAAAGTATTTCTAACGTATATTGAATGATTTAAATGTCGGTTGGAGACGGAGGAAGCCGCGGCTATCGACGCTGAACATTACGAGTTGGAAAGTTTGGGTGAACGGCGATATTTTCCCGCCCTCACCCACCAGACCGACCCTCCCACCATAATGATAGCCTTCTCCGCCCCGCTCCTCCACTACCTCACCCTCACACTACCCACACCCTCACACTACCCACACCCTCACACTACCTACACCCTCACACTACCTACACCCTCACACTAACTTAACTCTCAGATAGCCTCACTCTCACCACAAGCGTAGTTAAGGCGGGTGAGGGTGGTGTAATGTGAGGAGAGAGTGGGGTGGCGGAGAGAGTTGAGTGAGCCACCCTACTTTCTCCCATAATGAAGGTCCATCTCACCCAGCTCCTGCTTCCACTGATTACATAATGAACCCGGCAGTATTTGTCACCATACACACTGCATCGCACCCTCGCATCTCGCTCCAATTCAGTTTCTTTATTATGCACCCCCTACCCATTCCGTGGGCGGTGGTGGAAAAGGTTACCGCAGCACATAATGGGTTCAGGAACTGAACCCCATAGTTCATTTAGCTAAGCAAGTGACAATCTCTTGAAGTTAGTTACAAGTGTGCACCTGGCTCCAGCAGATACAATAGTGAGGTGTGGGGGAGATGAGGTGTGAGGAGACAGGAGGAGGGATGATGCAACAAGGCGGGGTGAGGGCGGCGCCGCCCAGGCACGGTGGGCTGACTCCTCACCACAATTGCCTCCCTCCTCCGTTGCCGACTCGCCTTTTTATTACATTTTACACCCCCAAGTGATATATTGCATGACCTGCAGCCACCACTGCAACTCGTCTACTGCTGAGCCAAATGCAAAAGCAAACTTATTGACTGCTAAATGTACATTTCTTGAACGCTGATAAATTATTTACATGTGCTTATGTGCATGGCCAAGTGATATTTGCAGGAGTTGCCACACCCACACCACGTGATGCTGTCATCACTTCTCCCGCACCACGTGATGCTGTCATCATTTCTCCCGCACCACGTGATGCTGTCATCACTTCTCCCGCACCACGTGATGCTGTCATCACCTCTCCCACACCACGTGTTGCTGTCATCACCTCTCCCACACCACGTGTTGCTGTCATCACCTCTCCCACACCACGTGATGTTGTCATCACCTCTCCCACACCACGTGATGTTGTCATCACCTCCCACACCACGTGATGCTGTCATCACCTCCCACACCACGTGATGTTGTCATCACTTTTCCCGCACCACGTGATGTCATTACCTCTCTCTCACACAACCTTGGACTATCAGAAAGCTCTTGACACAATACCCTATAAGAGACTGTTGCATAAGTTGGAGAAACAAGCTGGAGTAAACAGCAGAGTGCTCCAATGGATAAGGGAGTACCTGATCAACAGGAAGCAGAAAGTTACTGTGAGCGGTGAGATCTCACGCTGGCGTGATGTCACCAGCGGAGTCCCACGGGGTTCTGTACTCGGACCTATCCTCTTTCTGATATACGTGAATGATCTTCTAGAAGGTATAAATTCATTCCACTGAAGTGTTTGCTGATGATGCTAAAATTATGAAAAGGATTAAGACAGAGGATAGCAAGAGGCTATAGGATGACCTGGACAGACTGAAGGAATGATCGGCCGAGCGGACAGCACGCTGGACTTGTGATCCTGTGGTCCCGGGTTCGATCCCGGTCGCCGGCGAGAAACAACGGGCAAAGTTTCTTTCACCCTATGCCCCTGTTACCTAGCAGTAAAATAGGTACCTGGGTGTTAGTCAGCTTCTTGAGGTTATCTTGAGATGATTTCGGGGCTTTTTAGTGTCCCCGCGGCCCGGTCCTCGACCAGGCCTCCACCCCCAGGAAGCAGCCCGTGACAGCTGACTAACACCCAGGTACCTATTTTACTGCTAGGTAACAGGGGCATAGGGTGAAAGAAACTCTGCCCATTGTTTCTCGCCGGCGCCTGGGATCGACCCCAGGACCGCAGGATCACAAGTCCAGCGTGCTGTCCGCTCGGCCGACCGGCTCCCCCAACTGCAGCTGTCACGGGCTGCATCCTGGGGGTGGAGGCCTGGTCGAGGACCGGGCCGCGGGGACACTAAAAGCCCCGAAATCATGTCAAGATGGCTACTAGAGTTTAACTCGAGCAAATGCAAAGTGATGAAGATAGGCGTAGGGAGAAGGAAGCCAAACTTAAGGTACCAGCTGGGAGAGGAAAACCTTCAAGAGTCAGGAAGAGAGAAAGATCTGGGGGAGGGGGGGGGGTTGATATCACACCAGATCTGTCCCCTGAAGCCTACATCAAAAGGATAACATCAGCGGCGTATGCAAGGCTGACGAACATAAGAACTGCCTTCAGAAACTTGCGTAAGGAATCATTCAGAACCTTGTATACCACACATGTCAGACCAATACTGGAGTATGCGGCTCGAGCGTGGAGTTCACATCTATTCAAACACAAAACGAAGTTAGAAAAGGTTCAGAAGTATGCCACCAGACTAGTCTCCGAGCTGAGAGGAATGAGCTATGAGGAAAGATTACTGGGACTAAACCTCATGACACTGGAAGACAGAGTAGTTAGGGGGAGACATGATCACTACCTACAAAATTCTCAGAGGAATTGCCAGGGTTGATGAAGATAAACTGTTTGTTTATCGTGTTCTGTCTTGTGTTTGTCATAAGTTTATTCACCTCGCCCAAAATGAGTATAAGTTCGATGAATCTGTGTGTAAATTATGTCTTTGAAAATGTAATAAGCATTACGAAATGCGTTCAGGCGTCAGATAATTAAAAAATGAATTTTAGAGAATTGATATTTTTATTTCCACCGACAGTGAAGAAAAACATAAGAAATATTGAGAAAATTCGTGTTAGAATTATTAATCTTACCTTTTCGGTCATATTCAACAACATATGTTTACAAGAAAGACTGCTACCAAAATATACTAATATATATATTGTAATCAAATTAATATTATTGGCTAAAAATGGAATTACATGTTGCTCAATCATGTAATTATATTGAATTTGTGAGATAATATTTATCGTGACAACTGTAAACCCGCGCTTTCGGTGCGAAACTTGAATTTACCTGAGGGCCACTAATACACTAGTGGCCTCGACGGGGACAGGAATTCGGCGGCTTGTCACATTAAATGTACCCCCCCCATTTGCTCCTGGTGATTTTTTCCAGCTGAAATAAGGTCCATTCTTTCCAGATGGGATACTATACTGCGGACCTCGTCTTTCATGTAAAGCAAACACGCATTCAATACATGTATTGTATATATATGAAATATTTGTAAGTATATTTAAGTACAATTCGTTATTAATTTATAGAGAGTATTGGCAAGTTATATCTGAGTTACCCGCGCCACTCACGTCGTATCCTGTTTTATTACATCAGCTTCAAATGTCTCCATTAGCCCTGTCACGTCTAGTTTCAGACCGTCCTCCAAACAGAGACCCAAAAGTGATTCCATACACCCGCCAAACTCCCTGTTTATGAATGAAAAACGGTTTACACACGACTCGCAACTGATTTCATTCGAACATTTCCGGAACAAGTGCTTCATTGACGAAATCTGTTCGAACCACAACGCTATAAATGCTTCACCCACGTACTACAAATACAAATAATCGCCAACAAAACCTAAACACCTAACCTAACCTATGCATATATATATATATATGCACAATATGCTAATATATTATAATATTAATTTATATTTGAGAAAATTCCCGTTTTGAATGAACAGCATGTAAAAATATATGAATGCGTCTGTGGGGTCGACCGCTGGATGAAATGGACTTGAGTCGAAGACGGGTTGCTAGTGTGCAGTGTTGTTAAGTCCTGTGGCCCTCAACCGTTCCTAGTTTGAGAGTCGACAAAGTTCTGGAATGATTTTTGTCACTGTGTTGTGTTACGACACTGGGTCTAAAATTGCACTCTGGTAAATGTATCCAGGATCGTATTTCATTTGTTGACATACGTAATAGGGACCCTTAACTCTTTTAGGTATTTTAGTGAAAGGCCCTTATGAATGAGTTGAATTATGTGTGGGATTAGTGTTATTTAAATTATAGTTTTTTTAGATAGATTTGGGTTAAGGAAGGAGTGAAGTTGTTGATTGTTTTAGATTCAGCTACTCTGAACAAAAAAGTTCCAAGCAGCACGGGCTATGGCAAGCCCGTCGTGCTTACCTGGCACAGGAGATGTGGAGGAATGATTGATTTGATGAAGATTAAGCCACCCAAAAGATGGCACGGGCATGAATAGCCCGTAAGTGGTGGCCCTTTTGAGCCATTACCAATATCAAGAGCTGATACTGGATATCTGTTGAGGTGCAACTGCACCCTGCGTGATGGGAGTTGTCTCCCGTGTGGAGGAATGAATGTTGTTGTTAT